GGGGGCTGTGGGGGAGAGGGGGGGGGGGTCAGTTGGATTTAACTTGACAAAGAGTAATGAGGTTATCGATTGGGGCTACAACGAAATAAGCAGTCTTCAACACCTGCACACTCCCGCGGGAAGAGAAGGACCGGTCGACTGCAACATCCTCAAAAATGAGGCCTTCGAAAAAGGCAACTCATTGATTTTCGATAGATTATTCCATTAGAGCCCTAATGTAGTGTGTAGTGGGGACAAACACCATCCTTCTAGTTGATTGGAAAATAAGCAAGCGGGTTGGCGTTGGCCGGTGCCTCTAAGTGGATGGGAAAGTGCGAGTGCATTAAGGTCCTCCAGACGCGCCGTTGATAAAGTCAACATCATTTCCAGCGCCTCTTATCTCGGTACTAATTGAGATAATGATGAGCGTTTTTGTTGTGCTTGCGTTTCGGGCACGCTGTCGACACGGCGCGGAGTGTTTTGGAGAGGCGGTCATGAATTGAGAAATATATACAGTACACCTCCTCCAGGAGACGCCTTCCATTCGGCGTCCTTGTTTTGCGGCGTCTCGGGTGCCTGAAGGAAAAAAAAAAAAAAGCCTCACGTCCCATTTTCAGCTTTTTTTTTTTCTTTTTTCAGACAGCCTCCATAGAAATAAATACAAAGTTGTGTTCATGTTATGTCAGGTTACCCAACGAAGACATGAATAGCGCTGCTGTCAAAAGTTTAGCGACGCAACGGTTGCCCCAGTTGTTATTGACACGTTGAAAGCATCTGCGTCGTATTTAGCCGTTGGAGCGAGTGCTCCCTCTCCTTCCGCCACTCTAACTGTCAAACCTGCAAGTTTCGGGCACGCTGTCGACACGGCGCGGAGTGTTTTGGAGAGGCGGTCATGAATTGAGAAATAAATACAGTACACCTCCTCCAGGAGACGCCTTCCATTCGGCGTCCTTGTTTTGCGGCGTCTCGGGTGCCTGAAGGAAAAAAAAAAAAGCCTCACGTCCCATTTTCAGCTTTTTTTTTTCTCTTTTTTCAGACAGCCTCCATAGAAATAAATACAAAGTTGTGTTCATGTTATGTCAGGTTACCCAACGAAGACATGAATAGCGCTGCTGTCAAAAGTTTAGCGACGCAACGGTTGCCCCAGTTGTTATTGACACGTTGAAAGCATCTGCGTCGTATTTAGCCGTTGGAGCGAGTGCTCCCTCTCCTTCCGCCACTCTTAACTGTCAAACCTGCAAGTCTCTCCCCGGCTCAAAGGCACATTTTCTGAACCCTCGTTGCGCTCTATCCGCGGGGTTTGTCACTTTCCTCTAGGAAAGCCACGGAGGCGTCCTCACGTTGCACTCTCGCCTTTGTTACGCACTCTACGGCTTCCTGTGGGGGAAATATTGACAATATTATTCCTCCCACAGGGCTGTACTACACTCTGAGGTTCAACAGACAAGAAAAAGATTGCTTAACAATGCTGCCAAATTTAAAAAAAAAAAAGAAAAACAGCTCGTAAATAAAATAAATTTTCAAAATCAGAAAAAAAAAAAATCAAGTCCACTCAATGAGCTGAAACCACGCCCCCATTCAACTGTCAAACGTCAAAAATGGGGAAAATGGTTGTTACCTCGTGGAGCATATTCCTTACGCCAACACATAACTACATGTTTGGGCCTCGAAATTATATCCACTTAAAGCCCCAGTGCCTGGAAAATATCACATCATCATTGCCAGGCTATTCCGAGCGATGACAACTAGGCACTCTGAAGCGAACCCGGCATCCCGCAGCCTTTGTCTAAATAATGGCGATCAAGTCAGACTTTAAAAAAAAAAAAAAGAGAGAGAAAAATTCAGTTTTTCTCCACTCTTCCACCTTTCTCTGTATATCAGGTGTGCACTCGCGGGCTACGACGAGGCACTCTAAATCTGCCACGCCAGCCAACTATCCCAAGGCGAGATGTATTTTCGCCGGGGTAGGCAGAGCAGCCTGCAATCGTGTCGGATAATCACTTATGCGTCCGTAAGGTGCGACTCGTGCTGTGGCCTCATTTTAGCCACGCCCCAAAATAGTCAGAAAACCCCATTTTTCTACCATCATTTTTTCCCAAGAGGCTGTTGGATCTTTTTTCACTATCAACTCGTACGCCACATTTTGTGACACTCGCCAAGGTCCTTTTTGAATTGCCAAACAATGTTCAAATTTGCAGCACAAGAGCTTCCACTCATGCGGGAACGGGTGAGTTTTGATTTCATGGTGTGATGAACTCATTTTTTTTGCTTTTCATGACCAAGGTAACCAAGTCGGGACGAGCCAGCTACTTTGTGTCTTACATGAGAGAAGCGTTCAAGCGCATGCAGTTACCCAAGTATTGTTTGCCCAAGGTAAGTGTCAACAAGCAATGTATATTATATATTCTGGACATCTGCTCGAATCATTTTTCAGGTTCATTGTCCACCTAATATTTTTAATCATTTGTCTCAAATTAATTTGAGGCTTGAGAGAAAAAAAAAAAAGTACTCTATAAGCATAGGTCAAATGAAGACATAGCTGAACTTTTACAACGACATCAAAAATGTTTCTTTTCCATTAGTGCTACGTGCACAGAAGCATGAATATATTTTATTTATTTTTTTATTTAAAGTGCCATTATGAGAATGTGATTTCAAGTTGCATTTTGAGCTGACAATATTCAAAAAGCACAAACTGTTACTACCTTCAAGGTGCTACGTTCAAGCTTTTAAGGGACGTTTTGTCAGCTCGAGCTCTTTCGCTGTCTTTAAAGCAGATTTCTATTACATACCAAAACAATAGAAATGTTTAAATATCTTAAAGTAAACAGACTTGCGGGCGGCCCGGTAGTCCAGTGGTTAGCACGTCGACTTCACAGTGCAGAGGTGCCGGGTTCGAATCCAGCTCCGGCCTCCCTGTGTGGAGTTTGCATGTTCTCCCCGGGCCTGCGTGGGTTTTCTCCGGGTACTCCGGTTTCCTCCCACATTCCAAAAACATGCATGGTAGGCTGATTGAACACTCTAAATTGTCCCTAGGTGTGAATGTGAGCGTGGATGGTTGTTCGTCTCTGTGTGCCCTGCGATTGGCTGGCAACCAATTCAGGGTGTCCCCCGCCTACTGCCCGAAGACGGCTGGGATAGGCTCCAGCACCCCCCGCGACCCTAGTGAGGATCAAGCGGTTCGGAAAATGAATGAATGAATAAACAGACTTGCGAGTTCATATATGGGAAAGAAATAACGTAAAATACGCACGCACTTGTGTGCAAAACAGTGCAACCTCCGTTACGATGAGATGCCACAGATGAGGGCTTTGGGGAAAACCCCCCAAAAAACAACAAAAATAGCACAATTGAACAAGTAGCACCTGAGTAAAAAAAAACAGCCGGTTGATTGTGCTAATGCAGCTAATGCTAAGGTGTGTATGTGTGTCCCATCACCCTGTGGCCTCGTCGTGCAGGACATGCATATCATCAGCACAGATGAGAAGCAGGTGTTTGCCGCCGTCCAGGAATGGAACCAGAACCACACCTACAGCCTGTACATCTCCGACTCGCCCGGCGTCTACTTCACTCTCTCGCTGGAAAACCTCAGGACCACCAGGGGACCCACCGGTAACCTGCTGGTCGACTTCTACACGGTAGTGATTTTGCCTGCTTCTTTTTTTCCCTATCATCCCATATCATTATTTTACACTGGCGTGACATGCAGTTGCGATTTGATTTATTTTAATGGACTTGTAGTTTTTGTATTAAAAGGTGGATTACCTTTTAATACAAAAACTACGACGCCATGATCAGATATTGTGATATCGGTACTTACGCGCTACTCGTTTGTCATCGATTTCCTGCCGGCACAATTGCGGGAATAAATGTGGCCGCCCCCCAAAAAAAGAGAAAGAAAAAAGATGAAGAGTGGCGTGTTGTTATTTTACACCAGTTGATAAAGTTGGCAAAACACCCTGCTAGAAAAATGGCAACTTGTCAAAGACAAGACAATGCTTTTGTTGTTTGCTCCTCAAGTCGTTCACTCCCAAAGACAGATTTCGATGTCTTTTCAGACTCCACACATTCAATCCCAAGTACTTCTTTACATATTTTTTTTCCAATTCTTTTCAAGACCGGGTCTGAAAATGGCTGGTCCTAAAATCTTAAGTCATACGCGGCACTTCAAGTGAAGGGAATAATGGGATGCAGTTGTTGAGGACTCAGAACACAACATAATAGGACGTTCCTCGTGTCATGATTCATGTTTATTATAATGTTTCGAAAATACCACCGTTTTCATGCGGGTTATATCATATTATTTTGTTGTATTTATCCATCACACCTTAAAGGCCGGTCCCTGAAAATATTGTCTGACGTTAAACCGATCCGTGGGGCAAAACAGGGTGGGGACCGCTTACATAAAGGATAATAGCTTTACTATGCAAACCATAAATTAAAAAAAAAAAAAATGGCTGTCTTCTTTTGCATTGGAACATGTGATTTTAAAAATGTATCTTGAAACGCGAGAGCATGAACGTCGTGTGGCCGGCCAGGTGGAGGGCATCAACGGCATGTATCTGGCCAACAAGCTGGTGGACCACCGCGTCAAGACCTTCATCACCTTCAACAAAGGACAAACGTGGGCCCTGCTGCCGGCGCCCGCCGCCGACGTGGCCGGGAGCAACATCCACTGCGTTCGGGTGAGCCGACGGACGGACACTCTCGTCCACGGCGGGGCGGCGGCTCGCGACGCGTATTCATGCGCCGCACGTTTCGACCTCATCGGCCTCGCTTTGGAATGCTCTTTGATTTACGGCCCAAATTTGCACGAAGGCCGGCCGCGGGCACTTTACCTTCGCCGTTGCCAGCCTCCCTACATGACTAACGGGGAGTCTCGGGCACTGGAATAGTTTTATTATCCGTGTAAGTCACGCCGTGTCATTAGGTGTAGTTTCAGTGGGGGGGCAGACTTTCCATTAACCTGCGTGACTTCAATTCACCAAATGTAGCCGAGCCGGGCTAATGAATGTTAGATTACACTGAATTATATTACGTAGATGTGTTGTCAGTGAGTCAGCAGGTGAGATTTGCAACTTATTTCCTCACTATATGTCAGACTCCGGTTATTAAAATCGGATTGCCTTTCCTTTCCCATGCGGTGTTCAACAGCTCGGTCATGGGCTATGGTGGATCTAAAAAAAAAAAAAAAAAAAATGCTGGCTTGTTTTCGTACCCCACTTGCTGGGTAGCCGTGGGTTCTGAGCGGATTGGGTTACTTTTACCCCTAGGTTGGGTTAATTTTCTTGACCGAGTAGATTGAATTGAAGATGCCCTCAATAAACACGTGGGACGAAAAGGGACAGACTCAACCTTTTGGGTTATTTATAGAACTGGAAATATTGATGCGGCCCGGCGGTCGAGTGGTTAGCGCGTCGACCTCACAGTGCAGAGGTACCGGGTTCGATCCCATCTCCGGCCTTCCTGTGTGGAGTGTGCATGTTCTCCTCGTGCCTGCGTGGGTTTTCTCCGGGTACTCTGGTGTCCTTCCACATTCCAGAAACATGAATGGAAGGCTGATCGAACAAAAAATTGTCCCTGGGTATGAGTGTGGATGGTTGTTCTGGTGTGTTCTCCCCATGCCTGCGTGGCTTTTCTATGGGTTTCCTCCCACTTTCCAAAAACATGAATGGCAGGTTGATTGGGCACTCCAAATTGTTCCAAAGTGTGATTGTGAGTGTGAATGGTTGTTCGTCTACGTGTGCCCTTCGATTGACTGGCAGCCAGTTTAGGGTGTTCCCCGAGTACTGCCCGAAGACGGCTGGGAGAGGCTCCAGCACCGACCGCAACCCCCGTGAGGATAAGCCGATTTTCTGAGAGGGGACGGACAAAGAGAAAAGCGAGATAACAACAATGTAACGGTGACAACAATGTTACAAAGGAGTTGGATTTTATCTCCAGTAAACCCTCTGTGACCTAATTGTATCCTACCTCGAGAACCCAACAAATCAATATTTTGTGTGTGCGCACGGAACTCGGAAAAAAAAAGGTTCTTTCTTTTTCAATTGACCTTTTTGCTCAGCGTCATTAGCTTAGTTAGCGCCACAGCCCATTAGTCGCATAATGTTAGCATTTTGTATAACAGCGTGCTATTACTTGATCGCTAATGATGCTAAATGGCTTCCTATAGCACACGCGAAGCATGTTGTATGTTTCTAAACGATTCAACAGATCCAGCGGCTGATTGATCCAGTTCCTTTATCTGGATAACGTACCGTATTTTCATTTATTTTCCTTAAAAAAAGATCAAAAATATAAAATATAATATAAAAATTTTCAAAATCCTAAATGTATCATCAATGCCAGAGCAATATTTGCCCTCTGTACTTCATTGTGATCTCCTTTGGGCTGAAAGAGCAGTCAAAATGTTGTAAAACAACTTAAAAAATTGCTTCGCTTCTGTACAATAATTATGTTAAAACACAAAAAAAAAAAAAAATGGAAAAAGCAATCTGCATTACAAAGGAGTTTTCCGTGTCAGAAAGATATGTTTCACCCCCCCCAAAAAAAAATAAAAAATCTGAGCTATAGCGGCGCCGTGGTTGGTTACATATGTTGCGCGCATCATCCGCTACGTGCTATACTGCATCTCGCCTTGGGCTCTATTTCACATTCGTATTGACCTCTGACCCCTCCCTCGTTCCCTTGCACCGCCTACCTCAACCTCGGTGGTCTTATTGGTGTTCTCCAATGTGCTGCATAAGGAGTGGAAATGATTTTCCATTACCTAGCGTCTCATCCTGGGAGACTTTAATTACACGCTTGTTTGCGTTTAAAAAAAAAAAAAAAAAAAAAAGAGAAAAATTAAATACCTTCTATTTCCTCTTTTTTTTCTGGGAAACAACAAATGTGTCATTTGTTTCTTCCTTGGAAAACGGGAGCACTTTTCTCTCGTGATGAAGGCACGGCCGCTTCCGATTGATTCCGGAATAAATGATGCATAATTACATCCGTATGTGATGTAATGCTATTTTTTTTAAACGTATCCCTTTTGTCGACAGCCTTTCTGTTCGCTGCATCTTCACCTCGAGATGTCTGAGAATCCCTACACGTCCGGACCCATCACCAGCAAAAAGTCCGTCCCAGGCATCATCGTTGCGACAGGTGTGCTAATTTGTCATTGTCATTAAAATGATTTGGAACATATTATGATGATGTATAACATCCACTTTTTGTTGCTATTTGCTGCGTATAATTGATGTCCATTGGAAATGAATTGGTGAAAAAGACACTTTTTTTAACCCCCAGAAATATTCATAAACCGCCAAGAAACATAAAAAAAATAAATAAATAAAAAACAGCACCCCCCTCAAAAAAAAGAATTAAGAAATTTTGGGAAAAAGAATCCATAAATTTGCATCGGGTCCACCGTGTTATCCATGTGCTGTCAAAAATCAATAACCTGTGAGTAATTTTTTTTACCTCGTCTCTGCACTTTCCCAATAAAATCATAAAACTGTCAAAGATCGAAGGATCAAATGATTTATAGCTGCAATGAATTCATTAAAAAAAAAAAAAAAAAAAAACACACCGCTGAGAAATAAAATGGACACCAAGAAGGCAGTGAAATAGAACAGGGAGATTCCTTGCGTTCCTGCAAATTGTAGCTCTGGATGACATTTGACATCAATTGAACTGATCTTTGATCTTTGCAAATGATACTGTTCAGCCTTCGACAAACGTGTGATTTATGCTACGCCGCTACCCACCCACTTTGCCATTATAACACTAAAACTGCCAAAGGTCAAATGGGAGAAATGAAAAAAAAAAAAAAAGCACGTGTGACAAATAAAACAAACATCCGTAAGATACAAAAGGTTTTAACATTTACACCATAATGAGTCGTTCAAATAATATACTGTTCATCTGATTTAAAAAGTCAAAGACATGTCAATCTGTGAACAATCAAAAGTAGATTTCTGTTCACCTTTTGTCCTGGGCGCAGGTGGCTCCTTGGGGGAGGTTCGGTTTTAACTCACATCAAGCACTTGGGGTTGCCTTTTTTTTTAAAAGCGCTTTATAGAAGTAAGTCAAGTTTGACTGAAGTAGAACGGGTGAATTCCTGGTCTGGAATCGAACCCGGTACCTCTGCACTCTGAGGTCGACGCGCTATAACCACTCATCCACCGGGCTGCCCAATGACTCAATATTGTAATGCAAAACTTAACAGAGATGGAAAGTTGATATAACTTCCTGGTTATATTCCCACAGCTTGACCATGTCCTCCTTTCCGTGCTATTTTTAAAAATGCAAATTTTGCGCGCGTTAAGCGCACACGTGCACATTTGCACTACGCAGCCCACTGGAGGCCAAGGTGCACACAACAGAAGCAGCGCGTATACTGTACTGTACCTCCAGGGCAAGTGGAATAAGATTATTGAGTGTGTATGAGAAGAAACGACAACTCAACTCAACTTTATTTATCTATAGGGCACTTAAAAAAAAAAAAGCATAGCTGTAACACAAAATTATCACGAAAATAATTCCAATTTTTTTCAGTTGATGCTGCATTTCGTATCCTGTGTCTTTTTCCTGTGTGAAATTACCATTCTCCCTCCCCCCTCCCCCCCTTTCAACTAGGTAATATTGGAACGGAATTGTCCTCCACCAACCTTGGCATGTTCATAACGTCCGATGCAGGAAATAGCTGGCGTCAGGTGGGCGTGCGCACCCGAATGCGCGTCGCGTTGAAAGAATAAATGTGTTGTCGTGAGCACGACGGTTGCTTTCCCCTTCTTCGTGTGTAGATATTTGATGAAGAGCACAACATTTGGTTCCTGGACAACGGAGGAGCTTTGCTGGCCGTGCTGCGCGCGCCCACGCCGATTCGACACTTGTGGTGCGTACAGCGATAACGCCACAGTACGATTGAAATGCCGATGTTGACTTACTACGTTATTTTTGTCCTGCACATCATTCCAAATCCACCAAAAAAATATTTGGCGTGCCCATGTTGTAGAATAAACTGGTATAAGTCCCAGTGTAAGCGCAAACCAAGACATACATGAGTGCCATCTAGTGGTGAATGGTGATATTGTAACTTAAAACAATTTTTTTTCCCCCCCTCATTTACCGCCTGTTTTTCACGGAAAATGTGTAATGTTAATCAGCATTTTTGGGATTTGTTTAAAAAAAAAAATACATCAAGCGACCACTCGGTTGCGTGTCAAACTGATCTCGCACTTCACAAGTAGTTCTAGTTGCGTACAGATATCAACTGGTGTGCACTTTGCCTCACTATCATGCAGTTCTCCAACTAAAATAGCAAAGCTGTTCGACCAGTGCAAAAACTCGTCGGACAGTTGTTCTACCAGCGCGGTTTAGGCGCTCTATTTGTGTGCCTCATTGTCTTAGGAACGAAAACAAATAGCATTCTAGTGCACAGATCTGAAGCCGGATATTGAGAATATCGAATAAATGCTTTCCAGTTGGCTGCTCCTTTACTGTCAAAATCATTTCCAGCAGCGTCGAGTCGGTTGCAGGCGGCCGCCCGCGCTGGCATATGCGACGCCCTGAGTGCTTTTATGGAAATCTGACGTACAGCAAGGTGGAAACGGAAGAGCTGAGAACGACCTCCTCAGTTGCTCACGTCGCGGCTACTTTGTAACGCCGTTTGCTTTGGCGTCCTCGCGCTTGCGCCCCCCCCGCCACCCCCTCGTCCACCCCTCCCCCTCGTCAAAAGTGATAAAGCTGCTCAAGAGGTGATTTCCACAGCGGCCCAAATCTATTTCCAGCGCTCCAACCCGAGTCATCTCGCTCTTTGCGGGCGTTTTATCACTTATATGCGGGAGTCACATTTATCTTTTCGTTTTTTTGGCTGTCCCGAAACGTTCTCACCTTGGGTAGCATCCGAAGTGCTTCATTTGTGCCTTACAAAACAAAACAAAAAAGCGCTGATGATATTTCACGTCGCGCTCTTTTCTCTTGTTGTTTGATGATCTACCTGTAAATGTGTCACTCTATTGTGATCGTGAAGGATCAGTCTGGATGAAGGCAAGAAGTGGGACCGTCACACGTTCTCCCTGGCGCCTTTCTACGTGGACGGAGTCCTGATGGAGTCGGAATCGGACAATCACATTATCACGTGAGCAGCGGGAAGTTTTGTCAAATGGAATTAAGAATCAGACGGCAAGACATGGCCTTCACGCCAACCTCAATTTATCTATTGCGGGTTCGAGCTTACTTGATATTCACCGATGAATGCTTGAGCACACCTAATTTTTACTACCAAAACAGGATTACTCAACTGTATCAAACCTAACTATTTTCTCTCTTTATGGACTTAAAAAAAAAAAAAAAAAAAAACAAGTTTTCAATCTTGAGGCAACATAATGCGCGCGGCTCCCACACAGCGAGTTGGGAAGAGTTTTACAACACTTCTTGGACAATTAAGCATTCGAGAGCGTTCATAGATTTGTTCCTCAATCACTTCTTTAAATCTTTCAAATCATGAGTAATGCTTAAGAAATAACAGACAATTAATTAAATGTGTGTGAAAGACCAATAAAGTGACAATATATGAAGCTGAACATATTTGAACATTTCGGAATTCTGTCCGACAGCGATGATTTGCAATATGTATATAGGTGCAAATAAGATAAAGTTTAAAAAAAAAAAAAAAAAACGTCATATTTAATAGTGAGTCTATGGTTGAAGCATAATATACTGTTTTACCTTCTCGTATTTTTAAAATTTCATTCAGAGCAGTAACTTACTTAATAGATGTATGAATAGGACATGTGCAGCAGCCCGTCCGTCTATTGTATTACCAAAAGGGACTGTTTTATGACCTCCTTTTATTTCAGATTTAAAACAGAGTCATGATTTGATTGAACGATTCATAAAAAAAAATAAGTGCATAGACGTAAACTTGTCTCACAGGCTTATTGTCTGCCTGACTTCATGTTTCGATCAGTGGGGCAGCCCCCTGAAGTCTGCCTAGCAACAAAGCGCCCATGTGAGCAGGAAAAACAATCCGAGCGGTTCTGGTCATCTCCGCAGTCGCATCTATGCGTACAACGCACACAAAACTCTTGAGACTCTTTTGGCACGCTTGACTCAAAGCATGCTCGAATGCATTTCGAACAATTTTCAAGCAATTCTTCACAAAAGGATTTATTTTATTTATTTTTTTTGCGCATCGTCCCTTAGTTTCTTTGGACACTTCAGCCATCGGTCCGAGTGGCAGCTGATGAAAATCGACTACAAGGGCCTGTTCAGTCAGAGATGCATGGACGGAGACTATCAGACGTGGACTCTGCACAACAAGGTAACGGGAAGACATCTTCTTTTGATTTTTTTTTTGTTTGTTTTTTATAAAAGTTCAGTAGGAAAGGGTAATTCAGTGAAGAACGGCAAGATTGAGAGACAATACTTAAAAAAAATAAAAAATAAAATAAATAAAAATACATGACTACTCCCACCGCCTCGCAGCCCTCCCTCTTGCAAATCCACCGGAATGTGCTCATCTGCAAAATGACCAACACTGGGTCTTACCCGCCCCCACGCCACGCAAGATTTACACTGGCCACTAAAATGCTTATTAAAATACACTTTTGAAAGTCTTCATTCGTTTTTCACCTTCACAGTTTCCAAATTTGCAGTTGGAATATTTTCTGAATCCCCAATTTTCCTGTAAACTCCCACAAAAAAAAAAAAAAAAACATTTTTTTTCTATTGATGTCACAGAATGTTTTTCTGTTTTGTTTGTTTTTGTTTTTGTTTTTTTCTTATCTGTGTGCCGCACCTTTTTTTGCTGTGTTTGTGTTTTCATTCAAAGGGTGAGCTGTGCGTGATGGGCGAGAAGCAGATTTTCATGAAGCGCAGGCCCGGAAACCCCTGCATGCTGTCCCAGGACTATTCCAGGATCTATTCATCCGAGCCATGCCAATGCACCGCCTACGACTTTGAATGGTGAGTACCGCTAAACACTTCCAAATTTTCCCCCAAAGTTAGCGCTAATTGCTCCGCTGACATGTTTGCAAAGAGACTCGGTTATCAAGTGGACATTTAATTAAAGACACGCGGAACCGTTTGCATGCATTAATACAGTATCGGGTTCCGAGAGTAGCAAATACGACTGCGTTCTTTGAATCTAATTATAGTGAGGACTTTTCATCGCTCCGCTGCGATTTGCAAATAGCTTATCTGAATTCAATTAATAATGGATTGCTCAATTAATTTTAAATGTCTGTCAGATATTCTGTTTGATCATGCTTGTCTGACAATCTTGTCGCTATTTATGGCAGTAAAATATGCCGCCATGGAACAATTATAAAAGCTTCCTCGTGAAGTTTGGATGATTTGGCAGCCTGGTGGATCTGATAAAAGTCCCTGTGCTTTTTTTTTTTTTTTTTTTTTTTTTTTGTTTGTTTGTTTTTGTGTGTGCGTGCAGCGACTACGGCTGGGAACGTCGCAGCGATGGGAAGTGCTCCCCTGCTTTTTGGTTCGATCCCAATGGGGTGGCCAAAAGTTGCAGCGCGGGCCAGAGTTTCCTCAACAGCACCGGGTAAGTCGATAACTTTGGGATACTTGTGGGAATACTTAGCGGTGGCAAAAACGTGCACCAAAAAAAAACAAAATAAGTGTTCCCGGTGTAGTACCTAATGTTAAAATTCTTGGTTATTTTATGTCGTTGTTTTAGTAGCACATGCTACTAGCATGTCACATTTGGTTGACGAGTGGGCAACGGTTAAAAAAAAATAAAAAAAAATGGTCATGGATTGGGCACAAGTTTATCAGCTTTGCTTTCTTAGGTATCGCAAGGTTTTGTCCAATAATTGCAAAGAGGTCGGGACGAACGTGTACTCGCCCAGGCGCCAGGGATGTCGCCCTAGACCGCCCCGAGGCCTCCGCTTGACCACCGGCAGCGGCGAGCTAAGCGCCCTCGTCGGAAGCAACGTGACGTTCGTGGTGCATCTGCAAGACGTAAGTCGCAGTTTGACACGGTTGAAAGCAGAGGATGTAACTTTGTTTTGCTAAAAAAAAAAAAAAATGCTGACTAAGCTCCTTTCACATCTTGTTCTATTACTCGGTATTTAATCTAACCTAGCAGCTATCACCCGTTTGTAAAAAGATAACTAAATATATGTTTTTGTTGCAGAAAATAATCCTATAATTATGACTGGGTTTCGACAAAAAAAAGATTCAAAAGAAAATAATGTGAATGAACCTCAACCTCTTTCTGAGGCCTTAGCTGCCCGAATTCACACAATGGACAACAATCGCCTCTTCTGAAGAATCCCACATTTTTCAAAATGCCACAAATCAATCACCTTCAGGGGCGCAACATGCATCTGTTGCTATAACGCAGAATCCCAGCCTAGGGGGCGCCAAAAGTTACGCGTTGCCGCATGAACTGTACAAAGCTACGGTGACGTGTTGGGTGGGTGTTGTCTCATGTTTGCCCTGTTTGTCAAGTGTGTTGACACGTTCTAATTGCCGTGCGCAAGCTAATTAGTATCTGTGATTAGCATCGCTAATTAGCCTTAGGCACACTGCGGCTTGGAACGAGGTGGCTTGAGTTAATCAGGTCAAGTCAGAGCCGCTCTTGAAAGCCGCGTACTGTAACTTGTGTAGCTAGTGTAAAGTGACATCTCAACATACGCACGAAGGTTGCTCGGCCGTTTATAGCTTCACGCGTGTTTGGACGGATGTCGAGTTGCTGTTATTTGATTCGCCATACGTGCCCACTTACAAGTCTTAAATGTTCACATCAAGAAGATGAATGCCGTCACGTTTGCGCACTCCGGAATCCATCTTGTCTTCATCAAGAGATGGAAAAGTTCAGTCTCTTGAAGCAAATAGAGGATGGTTGCAAATGAGAACCAAAGGCAACTGGCAGTAATTATCTCGGTGAAGGTCGGCGTGGATTGATGAGGTGTAATCAAAGTGAAGAAAAAAAACCCCGCCTGTACACTTGGTAACGGCATGCGGGTTTGTCTTTTATGAATAAACATTAGCCATTTTTGGACCAACAAATTGTATTTTGTCTGAAAGTAAATGTTAGGGCCAAAGCTTGCTATATGAAATGTCTTTGTTTCCTCCTCAGTTCTTTAGATTTCAGCCCCTGAAACCAGTATCACTGATCAATGTGAAATTTGGCAGTCTTGTCTATCATGAATTAGAACCACAAAAAAACGTGGCGATTGAGCGTCTTTTTGTCCATTTGAATCATGTCCCCTGGACGGACGGTTAAATTGTGTGGAATCAAAGCTTCAAAGCACTTTTCACTTTTAGTCGTCATGCCAATCATGAAAAGAACCACAAAAAAAAAATTCTCGAAAACACATGTTGGAAAAAATACTGGAAGTTCTATATTTGGTTGCTAGCAAATAGAAAATACCAATCGACAATGCTCCTTGTGGGTGTTTTCATTTTGTATTGGTGTGTTTGACTGTCTCATTCAATTTTGTGGGCATCTCTGAAACTGGTGCTGGGTGCACATTCTTTCTCAATATCCAGGGGGAGCTACTGAGAGAGAGTTGTGTTTGTGATCGGAAATCAGGGTTCAACTTTTTGTGAGCTTTCTAGCTCGTGGATTACCCCCCCCCCAACCCCAGTATAATTAACAGAATGACGAAATTGTCATGAAACTATTGCTGAAATGATTACCGCAAATGATTAATGTAGTGGTGGTGGTGTTGGCAAGTCTTTTGTGTGGCCTCCAGTGGAAAAGCATCTGGCAGCAGCCCACGTGTTCTTGCGACTGCGTCCAGCGTCTTTTGATTTTTATTTCATAGACCTTTTTTTTTGGGGGGGGGGGTGTTTGCCTTGCATGGTGCTGCCGATTTTTTTTTTTTTTTTGGGAGGCTTGTTTGTTTCTGTTCAATGTGCAAATATTACCAAGATGTTTGTGTCTGTGTGAGCCTTTTCCAAAGAACTAGTGAAGAGTTTGTCCCTAGAAACTCTGTTGACGGGGAGCTCTGTGTGAATTTTCCAGAATAACTAGGACAGCGCCTTGGGATGAAGACTGTTTTTTTTTTTTGTTTTTTGTTTTTTAAGGATAAATAAAGGGAATATTATTATAGGACTTAAGCGCCAGGCAGTGACAAGGTCTTAAAACAAATGATTGACCTTTTTTAAGGCTCTGAAAACGTAACTGTTATTGTAATTATGTCCATGCTGGTGAATTTTTTGGGAGTAATATTGCACCTCCCGGAAAGCTAAAATTTGGTGGGGCATGTCTGTCATATCAGGATGTGTGGAGAAGTTTACAGGACCCACGCACGAAACTCACCGGAAAGATGGCTATTTTAGTTTCAATTTTTGATCAGAATGAACAACATCTAAAGACCCGTGTCTGAAATTGCAGAGGACGTCGGCCATTTTGGTTTGAAGCAGCCATTTGGACAAATTCCTCCTCGGTATTTCAGCTAAAGAGAGCTCCAAATAGAAGCACGTCGACTTGACAGATGATTGACGGCCAACTGCCAAGCCGTTCCGCCCGTGTCATCTAATGTGGGCTGAGCACGGCGGCAAAGTTGGATGTTCATTTCTGGGATTCACCATGAAACAAACCCACTCTATAGAGACCCTCCAGAAAGTGAGAATAAACTACTGCTGAACAATTCAGCAAATTCAAATCGACATTTTCAGCTCTCAAAGGCTATGATTTAAAAATAAAATAAAAAATAAAAAAACTGCTTCACTTCGGTCAGTCACTCAACTTTGTTTGGGTAGAATTTTGTGATGTCATGCTGAACGCTTCAAAGACTGCAAATTATTAAAGTGTTTGGCACGTCAACGACTCAAATTGAAGTCGATTTTTAAATAAGGAGTCTCAATTATGTCATTTTTGTGATTTATTTCTTTATTTTTTGTGATCTGTGATTGTTTATCGGAATAAAAGTTAACATGTTACTTGTGTTTTGCCCAAAATAATTGATGGGAAGAGGACCTTGGAAAAAAAAATTGAATCGCAATCGCAAGAAATCCCAATTAGATTCTATTTCCAAATCATTCATCCCCAAAAGCAATTAGCCCCAGTCTTACCAATGGACAGAAAAATTGGGTGGATGTCTGTCATAACAAGTCTTCGAGACCCGTGCATGAAATTGAACAAGCAGCCATTTGGGCCAACTCCAAGGTTTGTAAGTACGCTTGGGAAAAAAAATAAAAAAATAAACCCAACTCAGACTCTGGAATTTGCCCAAATGAGCCACAACTGGAAGCAGGTACAGTGTAGCAGACAGATGGGTGTCACTCAGTTGCCAAGATTTTGTCTTGGATTGCATTGAATCCGATTTCATTTGATCAGGTGGTTGGAGGGTCCGTTCGGTTCTACTTGCAGCGTTAATTACCTCCGATACTTTGAGGGGAAAACATGGAAAATATTCCCATGCCTCTGGTCATTTCATCATAAAAGACACCAGCGGATAACAACGCCCATCACCTTGAAATACTTGAAAACATGTTGTTTTTTTTTAAACCATCAAGAGTTGCATTTTCTCACTCGATAGCCTGTCATCGTCTGTGTGTGCTCGGCCACAAAGCCTTCGTGACACACCTGATGGGTCGGCTAAGGCCGAGCACTTTAGCGGCGCGCCGCGCGGACGTGCTTCCATTACAAGGCTGACAGGTGTTGTTTCCCCGCCCGTCGTCCAACAGGGAGACTCGCTGAGGACCAGCGTCCAGCTCGACTTCGGCGACGGCATCCGAATCACTTACGCCAACCTGAGCCGGGCCGACGACGGCATCCAGCACGCCTATCGAGCCACGGGGATTTACCGCGTGACGGCGGCGGCCGAGAACAGTCTGGGATCCGACAGCTGTGTGCTCTATCTGCACATCATCAGTACGCCAAGACCAAATACTCACACATTGTCTCGTCTGATTTTTATTTATTCATGGGGGTCTTTCAGGACTTGGCAAGTAGCCGCAGCGCGCCGTGAGATGGTAGAGTGTCGTAGGTTTGGGATCCACAGCGGAATGAGAGATGTCAATTTAAGGCTGCTGGGAGGAGAGATCTTGGTGCTCTTTGAGCAAGGCACTGAAGCCCCAAAACTTCAGCACATCAACATTTACAACAACAAAAAAAGAACATAGAAAATACTGATTGGACTCAAGGTCAAGTAAAACCAATTTAAATCCTGTCAGCCAAAAACTAAACTGGAAATATTGGGAATAGGTTCAAAAAAATATATATATCTTTTTTTTAATTTTAATGAAACTACCGGTACATTGAAAGATTTGTTGCACCTTTTTTATCAAAAGTTTTCTCACTAAAATGGCAAAAAAACATTGTCCTTATCTATTAGCCATTTTTGCTTTTTTGTTCATCTAAATGTGTTTTTTGTAAATCATGTATGCTTGTTTTTAAGTGTACATTTTGATCCTGTGTTTTAAGCTCTTGTAAAGTGTCTTTGAGTATGATGAAAAGCGCTTTCAAATAAAATGTATTATTATTATTATTATTATTATTATTATTATTATTATTATTATTATTATTATTATTATTATTATTACCTGTATATAAATTGCATGAACCAAAATAAAGTCAGAAGAGTAGGTAAAAATCTGGGGAAACAATCGTACAACGTTAAAATTAACTAATGAAAAAAAAAAAAGTTCATTTTTGTCATTGAAACGTTTCCAAATAAAGATTCAATCAGGCGTGGCCCCTGTTTATCCGCGCCTCCTCCTCCTCCCTTTGGCGCCGGCGCGCCGTGAATCTTTTAAGAGGTCATGTTTGCAGGGGGCATGCATTATTCTCTTTCTTTATTCTTTCTTTTTGAACACTATTATGGTGCTGGATGTTTTGAAAAAAAAAAGTTGGTAAAAGAAACTCGATATGAAAAAAATCTCCCCCTAGATGTGGAGGTGGGCGTGGCCACGCCTAGCCACCACGTAGCTCCGCCCCTGTATGTATGAAGTATCTTTCCGTTCTGTCGTTTTTAACGCAGCCGATTGTCACGCTGGATGGGAGTATCTCGTACACATTTCAGAAGGAAGGAACAAATAAGGTCACGGTCCAGGTGGCTTCTGGGAGCGCGGTGATGCAGGATTCCAGGGATATAACAGTTAAAGGTTAGCGTGCAACTTTAATTGGTGACATGAATATGCAACATGTGGACCGTGCTCGCCGACGTGGACGAAATGTCACGGCGAGCGAACACGGAAAATCTTGACGCCAATTAAGTCCGACTTTGGGGAAAATGAGCCCAAAGGCGGTTTAATTTTTTTTAAAAAAAAAAAAAAAAAAAAAAAAAGCCTGACTTTTGTTTTTGTTTGCCAGAGTTTTTCAGGTCGCTGCTGTTGTCCTTTTCGCCGACGCTTGACGAGCACAATCCTGACATCCCCGAGTGGCGGGAGGACATAGGCCGCGTGGTGCAGACAGCCCTGTCACGGGTACGTCAACTCCCAACCGCAACTCGCCGGACCACCCGCACCTCTCTGGGTCATTACTCTTTCATACCGGTGTGCGCTGCCGCTACAGCGCTCGTCATGTTTTATGGGCCGTGACGGAGATCTTGCCTTTTTTTTTTCTTTCTTTCTAACTTTGTGCGATGACGGCAAGCAGACATCGCAATGGCCGGCGCTGTAAAGTTAAGTTGTAAAGTAGAGTATTAAGCCCTACTGTAGTCGGTTTTTCCACTTTAAAGTAGTAACGAGTGAAGAATTATTGTGAATTATTATTTGTATTGTATTTTATCCCGGTTTGTGTTTTGCTGTCAGGTTTCCGGTGTTCCCGCCAGTCAGCTGCTGGTGTCGTTGTACCCGGGACTCCCGACCACGGCGGAGCTCTTCATCCTGCCCGATGTGATCACGCCAAATGAGCACAAGAGGCAAACGCCGGAGGAACTGCAGATGGTAAGAAGAGGGACGCCTTCTTTCATGTGTCACCAAATGGCATCCCGCCCCCCCCCCACTACCCCCCCATATCGACCATCACCTATTGCAGAGGCAGCCATATTTCTTTTTCTTCCTGGTATGTACAAACTGATCCGTCGTGAACAGCGAAAAATGGCATATAAATAATGCCCGTTGAAATGTATTGGGAGGTATTATTAAAAAAAAAAAGTGTGTGTGTGTGTGTGTGTGTATACATATGTAAAAAAATATATATACTGTATATGCGGATACGTGTGTATATATTTATATGTATAAAATGTTCAATTAATTTTTATTAATTGAAGAAAAATGTTTTTCAGTTTTTGTTCTGGTCGAAATACATTTACAGTGTGTTTTATAACGGGCCTTTTAATAAGTTGAAGTGTGTTTTAATAATCCTCAACGTGTTTAAAGTTCCCATTATGGGGATTGAGCGAAACTATTGCAAGTGTGTCTGCAATGCATCCCTGTGATAAATAGTGGTTCACTTTACAATTTTATTTTTTTTTAACACCCCCCCCCACCCCCCAACAGATATCTGACGTTTTCGTCGCCCTCCTCAACCAAGGCCGTGTCCACTTTGAGCTGAAGGTTGACACTCGCATCGCCGTCCACATCACTCAGCAAACTCTGGGTAGGTGGCTCTCTGATTGCACATTCACATGCGCGACTTTCAGCTGACTCGATGGGGGGGGGGTACTTTCAGTGAGACCGCACGCCACGGCTCACCTCTCATCAAAGCGGTCGATCGATGACGTGATCAACGGCACGGCGTTGGAGACCGCCGGGGTCGCGTCATCGTTAGCATATGGCCAAAGCGCGTCGGAGTAGGGCGGGGGTGGGGGTGTCCTACGTGACTTTCTCCCCCTTTTCGTCCGCCGATGGATCTGTCTTCGTTTGTGTCGCCGTACAAAGGCCTGCATCGCCTTTTAAGATGATCCCGAAAAGGTCACGCTTCCTTAAGGAGGAGGGGTCGGGTGGGGGGGACAAACTTTGAATATTGCTTCTCAGCATTTAAAAAGCCATGACAGTGCAAAATGGACTTGGACACGAGCGACCCCCAGGGAGAGCCTGCGCACATCCTCGATGTTCCTTTTGCACCCCCGAGGAGGTCAAATGGTGTCAGCCTCGGAGTGACAGAAAAATTCATGTATTCGTTTTGGATTGTTCCGTTCTTCATTTAGAACGCGATCAATCTCATGCTCGAGTTGTCAAGTTGTTGCTGCATCTTTAAACAATGGTGGAATCATCGATTTTACTGCTTCGCAGCAATCAGCAAAATGAATGAAGACCAAGTGTGCTGCCCGAACGGGCTGCAGAAGATTTCAAAATGCAAAAGTAAAACGGAAAAAAAGTATTTTGTGAATATTTGGTTCCACACGGTAATGATAAATTAGGCCTTTAGCTAGTGATTTTAGTATAGCTAGTTTATTTTGTTGCAAGTGATGATGATAATTTAGGCCTAGCTAATTTCTGGCCTAAACGGGCTGCAGATGAGACAAAGTGAGTTTTTTTTTTTTCCCCCTCCCTACAGGAAGTTAATTGTAAAGATGAACAACATGGCTGAATTGTTGATTTATTTATTTTTCCTTCCCGGTATACTCTGGCACACGCATAAAAAATTTTAAAAAATTACAAATGAATCACTCCTGAATTTATATTATTACAGACTAATTTTTAATTAAGCTTTTTTTTTATTTTTTTTATTTTAGCGCCACTGGTGGATTCGACCGCCCTTCACAGCGGGTCGGCCATGTTGGTGCTGATCTCGGTGGTGTTTGTGGGTTTAGCCGCATTCTTTATCTACAAGTTCAAAAGGTGAGGAACCCCCCCCGCACCCCCTCAGAGCCGCCTCAAATTTAGGATCTTTTTTTTGGCTTCATCCTCTTTCCCTTTCTGCCCCAAAAAGGAAAATCCCTTGGATCCACGTGGAGACGGAGGACAGTCGTGAGAAGGAACCCGAGGTGATCAGCACGGTCAGTCAGAAGGACGACATGTCCAAGGTCAACCTCGCCGACTTTCCCTCAGAGAAGGACTTCATGGAAAAGGAGCTGGATACCAGGAAACGAGGTGAGCTACTTTCCTCCCCTTTTTACATTTTTTTTTTTTTTTTTTTAAATGCCGTCGCTTGACAAACGACAGCTTGGACACCAACATGACAGCGTGAAATGGAGTGCGGGAACATGTGTGACACGTTAATATGGGATTGCAAGTGAGGCTGTCACTGCAGGAGGCTTACGAATGTCGTTGACTTCAAGCGAGCTCACTCGGCGTCCACGCCCTCAAGTGCACCTGCTCACGTTCAAGCAGGGGGGCTCAGATTTATGAAATTTGCCCCCACGTAATCCGAACAGCAATGAAATGTATCTGAAAGTAGCCGTTTTTACAGAGATAATTTTAACCCTTTGAGGGACAGCGGTCGCTACAGTGGACAGCTTATCATGTTATTAGGTTACAGGGTGCATGAAAGGGTTAATATTGCTTCACATGCTAAAATACAGTCATACCTACAAATAAAATATCGAATGACTCCTTTTTACAGTTCATGCAAGATAAGAATCAATCAAATGACATCAAAATAAACAATGACAAATTAAAAAAAAAAAAAAAAAAAGCGAAAGGAAGCTGGAGTACTCTCATCGCTGGGGCAGTCGTGCTAAACACTAGTCCACCACGCTGCCCATAAATGAGATCCAAAAAAAATTCTCAGACAATAACGCTTACTTTTGATTGACAGAAGCATTCATTTCATTCCTCTCACATGACACAAAGGCCACAGACTTTTTTATTTTTTCTTGACACGTTCTCCTGCTGCTTCTTTCTTTCCAAGTGGTCGCTAGTGTGAAACAAGCGACGGTTGTTGACGATTTTTTTTTCCCTCAAGCTCGCAGGGTGAAAGTCATTTACCTTTTTTTTTTTTTTCCCGCCATCACATCCCTCAAGTCTCACTTGGAGTCTTCTTTTGAGATGAAAGCGTTTCCAATCAGGTGTGCCAAAAGCGTCAAATCCATCATCGGCTCTCGCCGTTGGAGGGTCGCCCCTTGGATTACATGAGGATGAATAGCTCAGATATTAAAAGCCGTTGCTTCAATTGCTTCTGTCCATGAAAAACGGGTTTGGGTTCCTTCACAAAAAAAAAAAAAAAAAAATGACATCATAAAGGCTATTAACAACGTTCAAAAAAATAAAACCAAAAAAAAAAAAAAAAAATAAAAGTACTGTACAATTAAAATAATGACATAATAAAGGCTATTAACAATGTTCAAAAACAAAATCAAACCGAATAAAAAACAAAACAGAAAAATACTGTTTACAAATGTGCAGGAAAATAAGAATGAAAACAAGTTTTGCAATGTATTAAAAAAGTGGTGAAACCCTTTTTTTAAACTGGCGGTTAAAAATATGCAGACAACTAAAGTCAATGAATAAAATAAAATGACAAGTATAAATACACCAATGAAAAACTACAGATAAAAAAATGCTAAAAAAAAAAAATACTGTACAATGAAAAAATGTTATCTTTTTTAAACCCAGTAAAAATACAATTTAGAAATATGTAAAGATAAAAAGAAAAAAATACAACTTCAAAAAAGATGCAGGTAAAAATTTGTACACAATTCTAAAATGTTAAAATTCAACAATAAAAAATATAAGACAACACCCGACTTCAATATTATAATCAATGCAGTGTATTTTTCAAAATAAAATTCTCACTGTGCATTGAATATAATCTTAAACTATGAGTTCCCCCCCTCCCCCCAAAAAAAAGAAAAACAAAACAGAAAAATACTGTTTACAAATGTGCAGAAAAATAAGAATGAAAACAAGTTTTGCAAAGTATTAAAAAAGTGCTGAAATCCTTTTTTGAAACCGGCGGTTAAAAATATAAGAGTAATACATTTCTGTGATGGGTGAAAGGGAAATGTAGTCATCGTGTAACCGACGTATAAACGGCAAATCTCCCTCCCTCACTTCGCCTCCCCGTACATAATCAAGTTATTGCATTTTGTAACTTCCTGGATGAGCTTGAGCGAAGCAAAGGTGTTTCCAACCCAGAGAAGATGAATCCATTAACCTTCTCCTAAAGGTTGCAATGAAGATTTGAGATAGTGAATTGGACAGGCACAATTTTTTAATCTCTGCGCAGAGTAATCAGTTTGGAGCAATGATTGCTCAATAACGCTGCCTAATAACTACAACTTGTTCGTCTGGGGCTCTATTAAAAAAAAAAAAAAAAAACGAGTTTTTTTTTGTTACCAATCAGCAGCTAACCACTTCAGAATCGCCACATTGGTTTTCTGGTTTCAGATCTTCAGCGAGGTCAAAATCCAAAATGGAACGTGGCCTCCAAAAAATCTTTTCGCACCAAATCATGGTGTGGACTTCTCAGATCTCCAATCGTTTGTGTCAATCTGCCTTCATGGAGGATGACATGATGATGAAAAAACAAAACAAAAAAAAAAAAACAGCCATTCGTCCATCCAATTTGAACCGTCAGCTTCCCTCTGCCATAACTGCTGCGTAATGATTGGCCTTCTTGCTTTCCAGCGTCACTGGGGAGGAATATGGATCGAATTGTCACCAGGGAATATCCAAACTGTACAAACGTCTAAAGACACGCACACTGTTACCCAGTAAGTACACAATGTCGTCGTTTCAATTGTGCTGCGATGGTTGGCTTTGTTAGCTTCTCTTTTTCAGAATAGTTCTTTCATGCCGATGGTCGCTCTCGTTTCCCCCAAGTCATGTTTTCACACTCAAGAGTTGAGTAGCTACTTTACAATACTTTCGGAAAAGTGAGGATTGGTTTGCCGAGCTCGACTGTAACGAAGTGTTTCAGGGAAACATGAGGGATTTAGTAGGAAATGGTGTGGAAAAATAAAATAAAATCTCACTCTAGATTGGGTGTTAAACTGGACGACTGCACAAACATGGCAAGATGAAAATCTTTATTGGGCCAAAAAGCACACGGCAGTGAACCCGTTACTTGCGTTTGACAGAAACCATATAAAAAATATATTTTTTAAAATATGTAGTTTTGCCCTGCCCATATGCAATCACCAGATTTCAAGTTGTGAAATGTGTCTGGATTTTCAAAAAGTAGTTCTCCTACGCACCTGCTGCCACTCTCGCTGTCGAGAAACACCACTTTGAGATGCTACGCTAGCTAACGGAAAACGCTTTGTCACTCCCAGCTGAAGTTTAACTGGCACATAAATCACAAGAGAATCAAACATTGTCAATTGAAGCACCAACGCTTTCAAACAAATCATCAATTTGTGTCTAGCGATACGCTGCTAGCTTAAAGCTAACATCAAGAGACTAAGTTCTGTAGATGAGATATACCATTAAAATGTTGATTACTTTTCTGTCAACTAGTCCATTTCTCGTGCCTAAATCCGCATAGGAATGCGTTCTTTCCATCTGCTCTCAACGGTGCTTAGCTTAAAGCTAACATCAAGAGACTAAGTTCTGTACATGAGCTATACCATTAAAATATTGATTACTTTTCTATCAACTAGTCCATTTCTCGTGCCTAATCCGCATAGGAATGCGTTCTTTACATCTGCTCTTAACGGTGCTCTCTTTTCGATTTTCTTTTTTGAGCAGATTCATTTTGTCCATCTGAGCGCTCTGCCATTTTGACACGATCCCGCTCAAATTGACGTCAAAGTGCCCTCGGGCTCGCATCGCATACGTCACGGCTCGGCTGTTTTCATGACTTCGTGACGTTCGCAATGCGAGCCCGAGGGCACTTTTGACGTCAATTTCAGTGTAAACGGAGCTTTGACTCACGTGGCGTAGCAACGCGTACAAACAGTGCTGACCACAATAAGCACATACAGTGTGTCTGTCTCCTCTGCGGGAACAACAAATCGTAAAACTCCACGACGTGATAATCGGTCTTGCCTGTTTAAAAAAAAAAAAAAAATCGAGGTTCACTGTACTTGAAAAAGCAAAAGCCCAAAGTGTGCTCCGTTTTCTACGAAGTATGTCTCGGTCACCCTTTTGTCCGAATTCCTACTAAAACTCTCATGAGAGCGGCCCGCGAAAGGTGAACAAACGCGATGACGCAACAGCTTGACTGCTGATTCGGCAGCCATTTTGTAACTTGACACGTGTACATAAAATCAAGAGAAGGAAATGGACAGCTTGACGGCTTCATTTGAACTCATTGTCTCCTTGTCCAGTAACGTCTCACCAATCGACTTCTGTCCACATTTTGACACTCGCATGCCCTAATCAACTGTAAAAAAAAAAAAAAAAAAAAATTGAAAAAAAAACATCAAAGAGTATATTAGGGTGAGCAATTGTTCTCTGTCATAGTGAGTTTAAAGCTTTCTTGGCACACGAAATAAACAAAAATGAAACGCCTTGTTCTATAGTCCACTTGTGCGATGGCCGAGCAGTGAGCATGATCTCTTAGTACTACACATGACTTTTTTTTATTTTTTTTATTTTTTTGTGTTTGTCGTTTTTCTTACTGTGAGTACATTTTGAAACTGTTCAGAATAAATGTATTTTTGTATGACACTGTTTTATTCCCCCTCTATTGTACAGCTGATGAGAGCTGTTCGGATCTCTAACTCTTTGGTCAGTATGTCTTAATGAGATGATATGATGACCCACCAAAAAAAAAAAAAAAAAGGTTTGGGGTTAAAGTTGACCATTAACAGGTCTGGAATCTGTTTGCAACAAACCAAATCAATGTCAAGGTAGTCAGGGGAGATTTCAGAATGTGTAAATACTGTATATCATCATTAGATGGCAAGATGACCACCAAAACGAGTTTTTGGTTCACCAATAAGGTCAGAAGTCAATTTGCTACAAACCACATCGAGTCATACCTCAAATTAAAGGTCTCCATGGGATATTTTTGAATGTGTGATTATTTTGGAAACGTCCTCACTGGATGACGAGATAGCCCCAAAAAACATGTTTTTGGTTTTGTTAATAGTTTTTAAAAATCTTATGCTTCAAAAGTCATGAAAATTTTAAAAGGATTCAAGGTAGCATAATATAGAACTTGAATGAATTTATAGTTTTGATATGTCGATAGGAAGTACAATTCTTTTGGAGACTTGTTTTGTGAAAATGTTAAAAGAATCCTGAAAAAAAGCGAATAAGCCAAATCCAAAGCTATATAGAGGATTTCAATGGCAGTCAGCACTCACCTGCTACCATTTAAAATGCTTATAATTGCCCCCAAATACATTTCCTTTGTTGTAGTCGGCTTTTCCTGCCTGACATTTGCTTTTGCTTACCAGCAGAAGCCTGAAAATTTTGTGCTGAATACTGTTCATATTTCCTTCCATTCTCTCTAAGGCTCCACTTCCAGCTGAAGAAAGGCAGAAGAAAACATTTTATATATTTATTTTTTTTTAATTCTCTCTTAAAAGTACATTTTCCCAGACTTTGACCACTTTCTCATGTAATTTCCGGCTCAAAAGGTCCGAATAATTTGATGTATATTTGACAGCTTACACTCAAAAGTGAGCTTCATCCCCTTCTTACCGAACCGAAGCGATTCCCAAGGGACTATTTGGAGTTCTCATCAAGGTGTTCTCCACACGTCAAAAAAGGTCGAATTAACCCCCCACCCCCACCCCCCACCCCAATCTCAACGTCTCACACCGATCTTCATCACTCCCGTTTGCCACGTGCGCCCAGGGAGCCTTCTCGCAGGGCACCCTTTGCTCGATCTTCTCTCTCGCTAACTGCTCGGAGATGTGCTGGCAGAGTCCCCGTCTAATTGAATGGCGACAACAATCGCTAATGGATGCTCCGCCGCCGTAATGTCGCACTCGATGAAAGGAAAGACGCTCATCAATTCCGCATTGTGGCGCCCGGTGTTTGCTGCGGGTTATTGTGCGCGGGGACATTACTCATTCGAGGTGCGACTCCCAGACTTTCTCCCCCGCTTTCTTCCAGGGGCAAGGGGATAATTAATTTGTCGCGCAGCGGGAAAGTCGCTGGAAGTGGCCCATTTGATACCCGCCGCTACGTTGCTGCTAATTGTCCTTAGATGTCGTCGGACCGCCGCGGAACTTTTTGGTGTGAGCCAAAGCAAAGTCAAAGTCTCCTAAGCTGTAGAAACATTTAAAGTTGCATCGTTGTGTTGTTTTTTTTTCTTGCACCTGTCACAGAGTCGAGACATAAAAATCAGTTGTGCGCTGTGAATTTTGGTAACTGCAGAGCGAATGCAAAGCCTACACAAAAACTGATTTTCACTTGTGGAGGCAGCACTTCCTCGCCGAGCGGCCACATCCACTTGTGCTCATCCCAAACACCAAAACAAAGCCTTTCTGAGGTTTTGACTTTATTCTGCAAAAAAATAAGCACCGACGACCCACTGAATAATCACATCACTTCAACTGAATGAGCCACTGAGAAATGAACATACTGCAATTTACATGATTTTTTTTTTCAATATATAAAAAAATGTACAAAGCAGCAGGGAACCAAATATCATGCAAGAAAGTCCACAAGTCTTCACGTGAAAGAATACAAGCAGAAAATTCTTCAGTGATGGCATTCAGTCCGCGACGAGCGCCTTTTATTTCAAGTTCTCAAGGCTCGACCGCAGGATGAGAAGATCTCCCCCAAAAAGCGCATTCATCCATTTGTCTTTACTGACACAGAAGGCTGACGACACTTAAAAACGGACGGGGGGGTCCGACTTCGAGGGGGGGGGATCTTGATTGAATGCCAGCATTTATCCTAAAGAGACGCAAGCCAACCACGCTCGGCCGCCGCGTAGGCTGAGCTGGCTTGACAGGAGATACGTCTTCTCCGTCTCCGCTGCCCTCGCGGCGAGGCGGACCGACAAGCCCACAACCTTTTCTCCGTCGGCTCCTTGAGGGCCGACCTTGAGTCGACGGCGGGTTTCTCGGCATGGATGCAAACTGAAGAAGAGTCGAATATGTCCACATTTCCAGGTTGGTATGTTACGTTATTATTGTCTGATGGATCCTTTTATCGCCACAACAAATACTTGGAACTGCAGGTTTGGGGAACCAGGGCGCCCCCCCCCCCTCCCGATGGTTGCAAAGTGTCATTTATGCCTGCTTTTGGTAAAACAAGAAATACTCCACAATAAAAGTGTCAAACTCATCATTTCATGTGGCCTGCGAAATCAAAGGTGGCTCCTTTGTTTCTTGCTGAATGGATGTCTGTTTTACATCGTGATCGGAGCCCTGGTGGTCGACTGGTTAGTGTGCCGGCTTCCCAGTGCAGAGGAGCAGGGTTCAATTCCAGCTCGGGGCTCCCTGTGTGGAGGTTGCACGTTCTCGGTTTCCTCTCACAAAAGCTTCCAATTTCAATTTTTGCAGTGCAAACACCTGGCAGGCTGATTGATCACTCTAAATTGTCCGTAGGTGTGACTGTGAGCGCAGTATTGTTGGTCTATGTGTCGATTGGCTGGCAACCAGTTCAGGTTGGACCCCGCCTACTGCCCGAAGACGGCTGGGAAAGGCTCCAGCACGCCTCACGACCCTCGCTACGATAAACTTATTAGAAAATGAATGCATGGATGGATTTCATCCCCCGCACCCTTCCCCAACTCCATGCTACATTATTTGCTGTTTGTGCTCGTTTAGAAATGCCCTACAATGCCACAAGATGGCGCCAAATCCCAATAGAATAAAAAAGTAGTGCTTTGGCACCATCGTGTGCCATGGGGGGGTGAGATTTCTATTCTATAAGTGTGTGTGTGTGTGTGTGTGTGTCCCTTAAAAAGTTAAATCTCACTTCATCATAGTTAAGATTTGAATTTCTTTGGCCTGAGCACAAAAGGTCTTTTTTTTTAAACATGAGTAGGCTTAAAATATAAGTTAAAAAAAAACCCAAACGAAAACAAAAAGTAAAAAAAACAAAAAGAGTGGATAGGTGTAATATGGTGGTGGTGGTGTGGGTGGGGTCAACTGTATCTTCACCGCCAGCACTTTTTCTCCGGCTTTTGGGAAACGCCGAATTTTCAAGCTCCCAAGGTGAGTGAGTTCAAGGTAATGCAAACACAAGAAAGCATGTCGTCAAACCAAAGTAATTCGCAATCATCATAAAAACTGTCACCGGAGCCATTTGTGCTGCAAATGTATGTTGCACTTGAGCTGTCTTCCAACAAGGCTTTTTCCTCCATCGGATAAATGACAAATTTCCTTGTTTGCGTGTCACGTTGGCTGTAAAGCAATCCTTTTGTGCAGCGCTAGGTTTTTTTTTTTTGTTTTTTTTTTCCCAAGATGTGCACGTCGAGTTTGCCGTCCGCTCAACTGGGCGGACGTCTCATCCGCATGCATCTTATTTTGTTGGGCGTCGGCCGCAAAGACGGCGGCGATGGAACGCTCAGATGTGCACGCAGGTGGCGGCCGTCCTTCCTCCGCTGGATATTGGCAGCCTTCATTTGATGCCGATAAGATTTTGTCGATTGCGGCCGGCTGAATGAATCCGGTTGCCGTTGCCGTCTTGGGAGTGGCAATAAGGTGCTTTCCACGGCAAAGTCAACAAAAGTCGAAACAACATATTTGGAGTCACGCCCTCCCAAAGCATCGGAACAGCGAGGACGATTCCTTTTTTTCTTTTGTTTCATTCCTTGACATTCCTTGCCACGGTGTACTAGCTGTGTTATTTTTTTGAGGTGCAATACTCCAAATTTTGAACAGAGGTCGCTACCAATAATTACAAATAATTTCTTAAGGATTCGCAAGATAATTTGACACGAGCATCGATTGCACGTGTCAAACAACTTCTTGAAGATGGACTTCCAAATGAGGGTTGAAAACCAAGGTAAGGAAGTTCGGTTTCAAATCAGGGTTTTGATTGATGGATGCGTTTGCTTGATTGAGCTTTATGGTTTCAAGCTAAGTTCAGAGATTTAAACACGAGTTAGGGTTTCAAATTCAACCAAAATGAGGAGGTTACAGTAGGGTTCTTGCTCTGGGTATTTTTGGGAGGGTTTAAAGCCAAAGTTAGGGTTTCAAATTAAGGTTTTGATTGTTTGGCACGGTTGTGATTGGCAAAAAGGGCTTCAAATTAGGGTTAGGGTTTCAAAATAGGGTTTGGGTTTCAAACTAGGGTTGGGGTTTGGGTTGCAAATTAGGGTTAGGGTTTCAAACCTAGGGTTAGGGTTTCAAACTAGGGTTAGGGTTTCAAACTAGGGTTTGAGTTTCAAATTAGGGTTAGGGTTTCAAACTAGGGTTTGGGTTTCAAATTAGGGTTAGGGTTTCAAACTAGGGTTAGGGTTTCAAACTAGGGTTTGCGTTTCAAACTAGGGTTTGGGTTTCAAATTAGGGTTGGGGTTTCAAACTATCGTTAGGGTTTCAAATTAGGGTTTGGGTTTCAAACTCGGGTTAGGGTTTCAAATAAGGGTTAGGGTTTCAAACTCAGGTTAGGGTTTCAAACTAGGGTTTGAGACTAGAGTTAAGATTTCAAAGCAGGATTTTCAAATCTTGTTAGGGTTTCAAAGTCGGGTTTTAATATCGTGTTAGGATTTCAAAGTAGGGTTTTAAAGTGGTGTTGGGGTTTCAAAGTGGGGTTTGAAGCCAAAAAGTCAAAATTCGACTTGCAGCAGCCTGGCGAAGCAACATGCCGACCTGGCGGCCATATTGGATCGAGTCAGGAGCCGCTCAAACTGGAAATAATTTTGGCTGACGCAAAGCCATGTTTAACCATAACATTTTTGGCTGACGACGGTAGAAATTAGCGCCCTATGGCACCCAATATGTTGTATGATAGCATTTGTCACCAGTGCATACATCTTTTAATTTCTTTAGTGAACAAAAAAAAAATGCTTGTAATATGATAACAGTTGACATTTTGGTCTGGATTTCCTGTCAAATCCATGTAAGCAAAGAAACATGAAGATGATGGACTTTATGTGCCTTGGTGGGCCACATTGGGGGGGGGGGTCTACAGCGAGAATAAAAGGAATTAGTCCCGCTGTTCCACTCCTTTTTCGACAAGTGTCCGGGAGGCAGGCGTTTTTGCTTCCGTTCCGAACACACTGTACACTATTTACATAAAAAGATCAAGGTTCTTGCAAAAAAATACTCTCCAGTCAAAAAAGGAGTCCCATTCGGAGAGGCCGGCGCGTATAAATCTGTACAGTCTCCTCGGAGGGATTCGGCGGGCGCGTCGCAGCCCGCAGCCCGCAGCCCGCGCCGTCTTCTGCATGGGTAGCAAAACACTCGAGAGCATTCATCGTGACCGCGCTGCAAGTAAGTGCCAGGGAAGATGTATTGCTTTGGCGTGCCTCACGGACGCTCGACATTAAAACACGTGGGGCGCTTCATCAGACAGCTTGATGTCTGCGTGCGATGGCAGGTAGCCTGGCGAGGGACGAGAGAGGACAGAGACAGGAGGAGTTTTATGTTCCAATTTGCATAAGGAGCTCCTTGGGTTTTTTTTTTGTTGTTGTTTTTATTTCTTAACCGAGCTCAGCTCGTGTGCGCATTCATCTTTGATGGGTCAACCGCTAAGCTGCGGCGGCTCCGCGTAAATCAAGCCGGGGCGGCGAAGAGGTTCCTTGATGAAAATGCTTTCAACCCTCTTCCCCGTGCGCTAATTATTTTATCGGGATGAATAACTCTCATCGCTCCCCCACCCCCCCCCCTCCCCATAGCGCCTCTTCACTTTACCTGCAGACGCTTACACGCTGGCAGACACCATAAACTACTCCTTGAGTAAAGTACTCAAGTAAAAGAACACACCGAGGCAATGTGTCTTTCGACAGTTTGATCATGTGGAGTTGTTTTTTTTTTTGAAAAGCGCAAACGAGGGGAATATTACCTTCAACTTTCAAATGGCTTCCGCGTTTATTGAAAGGTTAAGTTATGCGCGCGTGTAAGGAGCGAGGCCATTAAGCGCCAGCGACGCCATGGTGTTTTCTCTCTCGTAATGATGCTACGACGACATCAGCCCCTCGTTTAATCACGTGCCGCGCGCTCTGATGAAGCTCGCCTTGAAGTCCTTTGACAGTCTTTTCGTCGCGTTGCCTCTTTTGGCCTCCTTTTTTGTACTTTTACAAGTAGCGCCGATGGCGAAGCCCGGCGAACAGCTTCTTGTTTGTGATGTCGTACAGAATGACAAAACGCACCTGCGCTCTTTGAATCCAGCTGTACATCCACGCGATCCAGTGAGGTCAGGCCGTCCGCCTCGGCTTTCGCGTCCGCCATGGAGGTGACTGTGGGCACGACCTCTTGCTCTTTGTCAGGCTGCTCCGCCGTGTACGTCTTGAGGCCTGGGATCTTCCTGGGTGGGGTGGGGGGGGTCAAAGGGGGACACGTTATGGGAAATGGAATTTTTAAAAAGGCAGGCCCGCGCCGAGGAGATGCAGTTGGTCGGCTGTTAACTGGCTAAAGCGTTAGCCGCTGCGCGCGACAGGGTCAGTGGAGGAACTCGGAACGTCGGCTGACAGAACGCGCTTGTGTTCTCTTTGTTTCAAGTCAAAAGGAAAGAGGAGTCCATTGACAAAATTTGAAAGAGTGAAATCATCTTCGAGCCGCACGATAGATGAACTTGAAATCCTGCCCAGGCGGAGCGGCTGCTCACGCGCGCCGTCCCTTTAAATGCTCTCTGAAAATAAAAAGTGATTCCACGAGTGCGTATCGAAACAATGTAAATGGATCCATCATTGAATTTTAAGTTCATGTCAAAAATGACCAAAACTATCCAGGGCACAGGGATTAAAAAAAAAAAAGAAATGAAACAAAAAAGAAACAATAAAGAGGAAGGCAAATGGGAAGGTGCCATATCAAATCTCACCGAGGGCTCCACCTTAGCGCTATGCTAATCACCCGCTACGAATTAATTCTGGCTAGCGGCGGTAAACGATATGAAATAAACTAACAATCTGGACTTGTCAAAGCACATCGAGTTGTCGGAACAGTACTGAGACGTTGAACAGTTGCGCATCCAAAGTTTCCAAAGTCAAATTAACTTCACCTCGGAAAGGTTAAAGTCCATATTCGGCTCATCCTGAAATGTCAGCCGAAAGCAAGAGGGGCTCCTTTAAAAAAATCATAAGATCTGGGGGCAAGTTAATGGAGGGCTGCCATCAAGTGCACGGCGCTAATGCTTCCACTAAACATAATGCGCGGCACTCTATTTTTAAGGACGCCGGAGGATTGCTTGAAAGCGGGGGAACTGGGGCACTTTGCGTTCCACCGGGCATCGCACTTGCACTTTTGTATTGTTCACCTCCGTCTTCAATCAATTTTTCATCCCCTCCGCGGCACACCACCGTTCTGACTCAAACTTTTTTTTTTCTTTTGCATTCACAGTTTCACACTCTCCCTTTGCATTTTTGTTCGCATTTTCGGTAATAGTAGTTGACAGTAATGAGGTGTCATATTTCCTGAAATGACAGCTGCCCTTTTATAGATTGCGTGCCCCATCCACTCCCGCAAAGAGAAGACTTCCTTTTTCAGTTTCTTTTCTGGTCAGGAAAAAAAAAAAAAACAACAAAGATAGTAATTATCTTCGTTTATAGACTCAACTGTTCACTGTACAGTACTTATACGCTGCTTTTGTGCTCTGGCCATAGCCCTGTCTAACTGTAGAGTCGTTGTGCTCTTGTGGAAGCTAAACAATTCTAAACCTTTCTTTGGTGGGTGATGGGGGGGGGGGGGTCACAAGCCATGCAGCAAAATGACATCATGATGCAGCACTTCAAATCACCCAGGAATAAATCAATTACCATGACACGGTGGGATCGAATGGCCATGACATGTGGGGTCCCTCAAGGGTCAGTCGTTGGACTCTTTTTGTTCAGTCTGTACTGTTAAATTCTATACATTCCATGAAGTCGAAGAAGCAAATTCCGCCAGTCCAGACGTGAGTCGCGGTGCGACGGAAATGTGGCGGTGCAGGCTATTTACTGTACAGCCCTGACTTTACACCACACGTTGTCGGTCGGAGGACTTATCTCGTCACCCTTTGCTGCCATTGCTGACGGGCGACGCCTCACCTTGCGGCGGCCGTGTTTAGCATTTCCTAAAGGTCAAACCTCACATTGTCACGCAGATGAATATTGATAACTGCGCGGCTCTGACATCCATTTGGCACTCGGGGCGGGGGAGAATTGATTAGGCTGTCATTGGCTGTATTATTGCGCAGATTGAGACAGAGGGGAATTGTCTTATTCCTGCAGCTATTATTGTGTCGCCCGTGTCCATAACTCAGAGATATGTGGCGGCGAAATACTTGTGGGAAGTTTTGAGGGAGTTCAGCAGAGAGGGGCGTGTGGTCAGGTTGTGGGGCGAATTTAAATGAGGCAACTATGACAAAATGTCCACGCACGCGTGCACGCACGCTATTTTTCTGTAGGGACCTTGCAATAAGATTTCTTGAAAGACTCGCTGTGTGGGTCATTCCACTGAACCAGTGCTAAATTTTTTTCTGTTTGGGTGGGGGGTATATTGATATTTAAAAAAAAAAACAAAAACAAACAAATAACACCGAGAGGGGCAGCAATTGCATTTCAAAATGTTTGATATTTAAAAATAAATAAATAACATTTTGAAATGCAATTGCTGCCCCTCTCGGTCAGTTCTGCCTTGGAAAAGAGGTCAGGTCAAATAAAATCGAAATAAAAGAAATCAATTTCGTCTGTGACTTGGTGTGTTAAAATCTCAGTTTAGTCTTGTTAATTTGAGTTATTTTTAAAGTGTTTTTTTTTTTTTAATCACTGTGATGTGCTGAACAGAACGTGCTGTTAGCATACATGCCACGAGGCTACAGTTGACGTATTTGCTAATGCGATGCTAAAAACACACTTCTGTTACTTTGAGTCAGATGATGACTTTCAGTCCAAAAAGTGATTCATCCGACATTAAAATAACCTTCATGATAATCAGCTGCCTTATTAAAAATGCCCCATCACTGTTATGTATTTATCCTTGATTGTATCGCCGAGTCCAAAATGTCCTGAAAAACGAGGCATTTTTGTGCAACTTTGCTGGTGTGTTGTCGTTGTTGCATGTACGGTACCTTTTGAATTTGTACACGGCAAAGACAACCAGACCCATCAGAGCCACGGACACCAGCATGATAATTGCAGTGCTGCTGTGGCTGCTATCGCTGCCGTCCACCAGAGGAGCTTAAAGAGAAGAAGACCGAGAGCCCAAATGGAAATGAACAACAAAGGACACACATGAATTCAATCCAACTCGTGCGGTCACCCGAATTGAACCCGCGTGTCGTCCCCTCGGGGGGGGTGTGCAAGCGCACTCACCTGGCGACAGTCTGCTGGCGTAGACATTCACCTGCACTCCCGCCTTGAGTGTGAACTGGACGAGGTCCTGGTTTAGAGCATTTAGCAGCACCTGCGAGAGCTGCGAGGAAGGAGGAGGCAGGAGTGGCGGGCAAACGGTTAGCGGCGATGCTCACGCCGACGCCATCAATATTTCAGCCTCAGTCATTTTCCTTCAGACGCTTGAATTATGAATTTTTCTTCTCCTTCTAAAGCGGAGCAAATGTGGCACGGGGGGGAGATAAAATAAAAAACAAAAACAAAAAAAACAAACAAGCTTGGAGCCAGCACGCTTTTGATGCTGATGGAAGCCCTGTCAGGTAAAGGGCGTTTTGCTTTGGTGAGTCAGTGACATTTGAAAATAAATATATATTCGTTTATTTTTATTTTTTTGGGGGGTCGTGACAGATGCGCTTTGTCTTTTAGAACACATTTAAAAGCTCATTCAAGAAGTTAAATAGAAAAGAAGAACTAATGCTGTCAACACTGACCTACACTCACAAGGTAAATTCTGACATTTGTTCCATAAAATTGCATTCGTTTCATCCCAAACGGTCTATTTGCTTCTTTTTGTGGCATTTCTCTTGGCTGCACTGCTTCCATGAGTTTTTTTGTTTGTTTGTTTTAGTCCAATCAGATTTTAGCCTCTTTGTGTTGCTACGTCAATGTCATCTGTCCATCATCTTCTCAGGACAGAGGTGGGTCACGTCGCCACAAACTCTAACAACGGCTGCGTTATTTAAAATTTGCTGGGGCTCTACTGAGCCATTTCTGAACAATCTTACAAGAAAATAATAAAATGTTGATTATTTTGGCAGGCCTGAATGAATATTGATTCATCAAAGGATGCACGTGGCACCGTCGTGCGCTGTCACATTGCATATTTGTATCGTATTGATGCTTTCTGTAATTGCGACGTGTCTGCAATGGTATTCCGAGGTGGATTTAGTCCCCACTGAAGGCCCAGGTACTAAACGCATGACCCGCCGCTCTTAAAGTAGCCTACAAGAGGCTATCGCAGAAGAAGAGAGGCCCATCTCAGTTGTCAGCTCATGCCTCAATAAGTCCACCGCACTCCCTCTAAAATCTTTCCACTGGTTGAAATTAGAGCGCTCGACGCAGTATGAATAATGACTTTTTGTTCTTGTGGCATATCAGGGTCAGTAAATCTATTACACATTTTAATAAGCCTGCTGCACACGTGCACTCCAAACGTGTGTGTGTGTGTGTGTGTGTGTGTGTGTGTGTGTGTGTGTTTTGTCAGGGGCGGGGCTCAGTGAACTGAAGATTTATTACCCTATTGTCCGGGTGCTTCTGCCAGGTAATCAGACAGGCTTACGATAAATACATCACTTTAATTCCCAATCCAGGCCTCCTGCCCCAGTTTGCCTCCTCGGTTGCTGTCAATTATACGACGCATCAATGTAATTAAATACCTATTAACTTTGTTCAAGACTGAGCGTGAGCCTCAACAGTCGTGTTTGCTCGGGCCACACCGAGGTCTAAACAGCTCGCGGCTTAAAAAAAAATGAGCTTGTGTTGCTATTTTAATGATCGCTTTCACAACAGGGGACGTCTGGATAAGATTAGGAATCGCGATGCTTCATTCTATGCGGCGCGTGTACTCATTGGGGTTACGCGGAGTCTATCCCCGCTGATTTTGGGGCGAGATGCTGGACTGGCTGCCGGCCTGTCACAGAGCACAACCATTCATACTGAGTATGGCCGGCAGTATTACTCACATTCTCACCGGTGGACAATTTGGAGCTTTCATTGAGCCACAGCTGAGATTTGAACCCAGTACCAACTGTGACGGAGATTTAATGACCACATGTCCAAATTATAGTTATTATTTTAGCAAACTGCAGTTGAAAATGACCAAAAAAAAAAAAGTCAAACATCATGTACACGACACTCCCTGTAATATCGTCTACTGTAGTGGACTGAAAAGACGTTGTTCTAGATGGGACGACATTGCCCTCTAGTGTTGGGATGGTGCTTTACACAAGAATGGACTATCAGGTCACAACATTAGGTACAGCACATCTGCGCCTCATCAGTCATCTGTAATATCGTCTACTGTAGTGGACTGAAAAGACGTTGTTCTAGATGGGACGACATTGCCCTCTAGTGTTGAGATGGTGCTTTACACTACAATGGACAATATCAGGTCACAACATTAGGTACAGCACATCTGCTCCTCATCGGTCACTGAAATAAATGTCAAACATTGAAAAGACAGAAAAAAATGTATCGCAAGGGCTCTGGTGATTTTAAAAATATACATATGTCTGTGTCCTGCAGTCCCAAAGTCATCTGGGAGAGGCTCCAAATCATCTGTGACCTCACCCTACGTTGGAGGGGGGGAATAAGTGTCAAGTCAACCTTTTGGAGGGGAAAGATAAACTACCGGTACTAAATGTTTGAAGTTGTTCTGTTGTGAAAGTTGGCTTTCTCACTGTTTCCTCACAAAGACGTTTTCATTCATAAATAAATTTTAAGATTGAAGTAAAAACAACTCAGCAAAAAGTAATGAAAGCCTCTTTGGTGATTTTCAACTCTTTTTTTTTTGGAGGGGGGGGCGGCCTTCGATTATAAATGAATTCATGGACACGTACCTTCAAGTTTGCTTGATGCCGCTAATTAAGCGCATTGTGGGTGCAAGGTACAAGTAGGAAATAAATGTCAAACATTGAAAAGACAGAAAAAAATGTATCGCAAGGGCTCTGGTGATTTTAAAAATATACATATGTCTGTGTCCTGCAGTCCCAAAGTCATCTGGGAGAGGCTCCAAATCATCTGTGACCTCACCCTACGTTGGAGGGGGGGAATAAGTGTTGGCTTTCTCACTGTTTCCTCACAAAGACGTTTTCATTCATAAATAAATTTTAAGATTGAAGTAAAAACAACTCAGCAAAAAGTCATGAAAGCCTCTTTGGTGATTTTCAACTCTTTTTTTTGGGGGGGGCGGCCTTCGATTATAAATGAATTAATGGACACGTACCTTCAAGTTTGCTTGATGCCGCTAATTAAGCGCATTGTGGGTGCAAGGTACAAGTAGCAATGCAGACGATCCAGATCCAAATTGGGTTTCTATGTTTCGAAGCAAACTCTCACAGAGCATTATTTATAAAAATAACTTTTTTTCTTTTTTTTGGAAGCCTCCACACTTGAGTTTTTCACAGAAACACTGCGAGCAGAGACGTGTGAAATGTAAAACAGCATGACGCTGATCAGTGAGAAATCCGCCCGCTTGATTTCCTCACCTCGTCAAACACATTCTGACTTTGCGAGAGGCTGCCCGAAAAGTGAAAATAAACAGGTAGGAAATAAGATCTTAAAAATCTGACATATGGAGTTGAAGCAACGGCACAGATTTGGGCTTTTGAAATGTAATGACGGGTAAAGTGCCGTTTAATGGATGTGCACCTGCTCGAACACAACTTGAACTGCAAATGTGATCACGTAATGCAGGAAAAGGCCCTTTGAACAATTTGAGGCGTTATGAGCGAAAAGAGCAACTTTTCCACACAGTTGAGTAAGGTCAGAATATTAGTTACTCTTGTGCATCCAAACGACAGTAAAATATGCGTACAATATCTTGATGTCAAGTAATATGTAAGAATACTGCATGTCATACAATTTCAAGTAGGAACATTTCAGGTTGGGAATGGAAAATTGACAGCAACTTCCTTCTCCTCTTGCAAATGGTGCCAACCGTGTCGCTCATGCGTCACAAGGAGCACCGTACCTGTTCCAGGTGTAGCCGCTTTTCACCCGCAGCGCCGCCGCGGTGCCCCTTGTTGGGAACGATGAAGATCTCGGCCGTGGTCGGCAGACCGGGGAGCACACTGATCAGCAGCTGATCCTCGCTGATCCCGGTGACCTTCCATTACAACGACATCAATTTGAATCCAAATACGATGACAAGTATGAAAAAAAAAAATACGACTGGCAGCTTTCTGCTTCATATCTTTTGCCAAAGTAGCATTCACTGTCAAGTCAGAATGCACAAATCAGAGCAAACACGGCCGGTTCAATGTGACATTCTTTGCTAGGAAAAAAAAAAATGGCAGCTTTGAGTGCATTTATGTTGTAAGCAGAGGTCGGCTGTCAGAGTATTCACGGTCTGACAAGACAGAAGGTCAAAGTGAATGTTTTATACACGGGGATATATTTAGAGGCTGCTATCCAGGTCTTTTACATAACCTGGCTGCCTTTTGGACGTCGACTCCTGTAACGAGCCGCATCGAAGGCTCTGCTGCTCGTTTGCCATGTCGAGAGCAAACGGAGAGTGCCGGATGAAAATTCACTTTTGTGTCACTTTTAAAAGGCCAAGGTGGCAATAACCGTGCCTTGGAATGATGCCGACCTTGATGTTCTTGGCTGGATTTACACCATCACGGTTCAATTTTTTTATTATTTTTTTTTTTTTGCCCCGACACAATTTTGGACATGCGTCATGAAGCCGTGAATAGAATAAAACGCCCCCAGAAGGATGTGGATATTCTCAGGTTGGAATTAACAAATGTGGATAAAAATCTGGTATGTATTGTAAAATTCCTGGCATGAAACCGCAACTATTCCCTTCATTTTGTCACGATTCTCTTGCCTGCTTTGCTTACTACTCTATGTGAAAGTTCCATTTTTGTCCGTCCTATCAGAAGTCAGCCTCTCTTTGTTGCTCATGTGACCGGTGGCCAGAATCAGTCGTGCTGCACTATATTAGCAAATGCACTATTCATTGAAGCAATCGGCTTTCCAAGTTGCCCCCACGGGATTAGTGCGGTGGCCCTCGATCATGTCAGCATTTTTTCTGTGCTCTGATTGGACGGTCAGCGCCAAATGTTTCAACACATCCGCCCACAGACCCACAAACACACAGATCGGTTACTCCCTAACAATGTCAGCGTTGCTATTGAAATACACTGAATTGTGTACACACCCACGTCGGCGCAAACAGCACAAAAAAAAAAAAGTGTTTGTGGGATTCCTGACCTGGACCACAGAGCGCTTCACCACCCTCCCGATGTCTGTCCGCCACTCAGCAAGATCGGGATTGGCATCATCCAGATTAGAGGAAAAAGCTAGAATATGTGACTGGAAATAATCTGGAAAGCGAGGCAATCACATATTCGTTTCAGTTATTTCACCGTGAATCATCATTTCTACCACTGAAGTATGGAACACAAAACCAACCGTGATGATCAGTTTAACAGGGTATGTGGTTAGCTGTGGCTAATTGAAGACTCTAAATAGATTCCAATCTAGACGGTTTTAAAGATTTGACTATTATGACAAAGGCACATAAATTATCTCACAGCGAGAGAGATGAAACGGTCTTCAAATGTCATATCACGACTCAGTGGCCAATAAATGAGTATGATAAAAGAAATGTGCCAGGGATTTGCTAACGGGAGCACAAGTTAAAAAAAAAAGTACAGTGATGAAAATCAAATCAATGTATAAAATGATTTAAAAAAAAAAAAAAGCAGAAATGTGTAGAGATGTTAATCCTTCCATGAATCCATTCCAGTCCCACAAAAACCACACAACACATTTTTGGAACTTTCTTTTAACAAGAAAAAAAATTGCACTCTGCCCGATTGTACTTTACTCAAAAAATATGATTATAGAGAATGTGGAAAAAAAAACAAAAAAAAAAACAGTTTGTTTCATGCTTCAACGCCCATCGGCATTGAGCTGCTTGTGTTGTGCACGCCTTGGCCACAAGGGGGCAGTGTAAGACAGATGCACATAATACACATTGAAGAGTTTCACAACCGTCTCCATGAGATGCAGTAATATATATATATATTTTTTTTTGTTTGTTTTTTGCAGAGAATAAATAACAAATGCTGAATATATGCCTGTGAATATTCTTATGTTATGTGAACATGTATGGCTGCACTGTTTGTCTTCAAATATCCATAGTTAAAGAGACCAGTCCAGGGTTTAGTCCCTTTCTTGACTACCAGCTGACTGGTGACCTTGAACATACTGTAAGTAGTAGAGATGTTTTCCCTGTCACCATGACGTGAAAAAAAAAAGAAATAAAACATGAAGGAGTTTACCATAAACCGCCACCGTCATGTGGTCCTGCTGGACCGTGTTCCCGACTGAAGCCTGCACGGTGACCACGTGACTTCCTTCCCGGGAGAAGGTGAAGGACGTCCCTCCAACCAGGCTCAGCAAAGGCTGAAAGGCCAACGAGGAAGCGTATGAAAGCGGTCGCTCATGTTAATTGGGCAACGAGGAGGAGTTAGTGGAAATCTCACCTCTGTTTTGTTGTCAAACCACCAGTAGTACGTGACCGTGCCCACGTTGACGGGCCGCAGCGCCGTCGTGAAGTTTACGGCTTTGTTCTTGACGGCCACGGACGGACCGGAGAGCTGCACCTGCTCCAGCAAACCTTTGAGCGGGGAAACACAAGATGAGGATCCCAAATCCAAACTTCAGGTGGTCAATTTGAAACATGAATATTGCGTTTCAGGGAGCTGTGGCACAGACTCGGGTTGGAAAGACAATAGTGACATTTCTAGCTTGAATTTGATTCAACGCAGATGCCGAAATCAACAGGCGGACGGTTGGTGCAGCAAACAAGCAGCGGTGCCCCAAGCAAGCACAGCAAGATGACAAATGGGGAAAAAATAAAAAAGAAAAAAATAAAATCAATGGCGTCAATGATATCATCGACGTCGACTCGTTAGAGGATGTCTGAAAACTGTGACAGTATTTTGGCCAAACAAATTGTGAAAAAGCCAATCAGATGCACAGACACGCCATTCTCTTTATAGCAAGTCAGCGTACAGTTTGTCATTTCAAAGCTATCCTCTTGCTTTAAAGATGGTATGACGAATCTATTCCACTTAACTCATTCAATCCCATCCATTTTCACTGGAGCAACCCCCTCAATCCCAGCGTTTTACTGGATTTTGACTGATCTTGCAAGGCCCACAGAATATTTGGTTCTCATGCTATATAAACATGGAGCCTACCAAAATAAAGTTTGTAAATAATAAAGTTTCTCTTCTTTCAGCAGAAAAAAAAAGTTGTTTCTATCTTTTTCCATTCTTCAGCAATCGGCATTACAAAATGGCTAAGTTTCATGGAAACGGCGATTCCTGGGCAAAAAACGGAGAAAAAGAGCTTTTTGTTATAGCATGAGGTGGTCAATTTGAAACATGAATATTGCGTTTCAGGGAGCTGTGGCACAGACTCGGGTTGGAAAGACAATAGTGACATTTCTAGCTTGAATTTGATTCAACGCAGATGCCGAAATCAACACGAGGACGGTTGGTGCAGCAAACAAGCAGCGGTGCCCCAAGCGAGCACAGCAAGATGACAAATGGGGAAAAAAGAAAAAAAAAAAAACCTCAATGACGTCATTGATATCATCAAGGTCGACTCGTTAGCGGATGTCCAAAAACTGTGACAATATTTTGGCCAAACAAATTGTGAAAAGCCAATCAGACGCACAGACACGCCAGTCTCTTTATAGCAAGTCAGCGTACAGTTTGTCATTTCAAAGCTATCCTCTTGCTTTAAAGATGGTATGACGCATCTATTCCACTTAACTCATTCAATCCCAGCCATTTTCACTGGAGCAACCCCCTCAATCCCAGCGTTTTACTGGATTTTGACTGATCTTGCAAGGCCCACAGAATATTTGGTTCTCATGCTATATAAACATGGAGCCTACCAAAATAAAGTTTGTAAATAATAAAGTTTCTCTTCTTTCAGCAGAAAAAAAAAGTTGTTTCTATCTTTTTCCATTCTTCAGCAATCGGCATTACAAAATGGCTAAGTTTCATGGAAACGGCGATTCCTGGGCAAAAAACGGAGAAAAAGAGCTTTTTGTTATAGCATGAATTTCAATCACGTGAGGCACCACTGCCACCTACTGGTCACTTTTTTACATGATTTACAATGCAAACGGCTTATTCTCATTCACAGATTGCATCAGACCCCCCCTCCTCTCTGTGACCTCAAAAAAGAAAAAAAAAAAGACTTAGACGCATGTCCTTGGTAGGCGGGGCCTAATTTTAAAAAGACGTACAAGTACGTCTTGTGGAATCAGAGAGTTAAGAACCTCATTAAAAACGGCATTATCAGTTTCCTAGCCCAAGGATGAGGTCACTACATAACACAGAATCTCCGCATCACGATGAAATGATGCTTGTGACTTACAAGTGACGTGGAGGTACAGAGTCACCCGATCAAATCCCAGAAAGTTGCTCGCGATGGCAGAAACTTGGTAGATGCCGACTTTGCCGTAGACGTGCTTGACCCCGTCCTCGATGGAGCTGATGTTCACGTAGGATATCGCGGTGCCGTCGCCAAAGTCCACCGTGATGCTCGTCGTCGAGCTGAGGCCCTTCAAACCGGGCAAAGGAAGACAAATATTCATTTCCGCCAGAAGCGACGCCATGTGACGCTCGCCGCTCGAGTCTTGTCGAGAAGTCGGCACCTCTTCGAGAAAGACCAAGAAGGTGACGTTCTTGTCGAGCGTGGCTACCAGTGTGCCCTCGCTGGTGAAGAGCTGCAGGCCCTTGGGGACTTGACTGGGACACTTCTGCCGCCTGGGGCTGTACTTTCGCAGAGTCCCCGCGGTGCAGTTGTTAGATAAAGCTCGGCGGTATCTGCGATCGAAGCCAGTGAGGACACGAGTGAAAAATGGTTTCCATCAAGGAAAGCAATCAGTCAGGCTAAGGGGTATCCTGGTGATATGCGGTCGGTATAATATTGCTCAAACAATCAAGCTTACCCGAAAAAAAATGACCGTTATCCATGAGGCTAACCATTACCCAAAGGCACAGGTCGCCATCTTGGTGTCCGAAGACAGCAGGTAGCCCCCCTACCCCTGGGACAGCATAAGAACCCGCTGGCCTATTCTAAAAATAGCTCACCATAGATGGGACATTAGAATAATTTTCTGTATAAAGCAGCGGTCCCTAACCCCCGGGGCGCGGACTGGCACACCGGTCAAATCAAGGAAAGCAATCAGTCAGGCTAAGGGGTATCCGAGTGATATGCGGTCGGTATAATATTGCTAAAACAATCAAGCTTACCCGAAAAAAAATGACCATTAGCCATGAGGCTAACCATTACCCGAAGGCACAGCTCGCCATCTTGGTTTACGAAGACAGCAGGTAGCCCCCCCACCCCCGGGACAGCATAAGAACCCGCTGGCCTGTTCTAAAAATAGCTCACCATAGATGGGACATTAGAATAATTTTCTGGATAAAGCAGTGGTCCCCAACCCCCGGGCTGTGGACTGGCACAGGTCCGTGGGTCATTTGGTACCGGGCCGCACAGAAAGAATGAATAACTTACCTTACTTCCGTTTTATGTTGAGAGGGAAGAAATTTCATCTGTGCTGTACAGCACATTTGACAATAAAGTTGTATTCAATTCAATTCAATTCAATTTTATTTATCTCGGAATCTGAAAGATGTTTTACTTTGAAAAATTACCGGATCCTCTCAGCTCACCATAGATGGGACATTAGAATAATTTTCTGGATAAAGCAGTGGTCCCCAACCCCCGGGCTGTGGACTGGCACAGGTCCGTGGGTCATTTGGTACCGGGCCGCACAGAAACAATGAATAACTTACCTTACTTCCGTTTTATTTAGCTCGGAATCTGAAAGATGTTTTATTTTGAAAGATTACCGGATCCTCTTTTACATCCGTCTACAATATGTCACTCTTGACGCAGGTCAAGTCGCGCTTCTCGGTCACGTGATATGTTCCCACTAAAATGAAACCCAGGAGCGGGCAAAATAAGTAAAAAACAAACGTCTTTGGAAAATGTCTTTGGGAAGGGGAAAAAGACGATTCAGGAGACAGAAGAGGAGCCTATGACGTTCAAGAAAAAGAAGGCTACATTTAAGTCCTGCCTAAAATAGATAATATGCGGTGATGGTGAGTCGTAATTTTCATGCACTTTGTATTTGCGGTGTATCTTATTTTGAAGGCATGTTGCGGCCAGATAGGGACCTTCCTCGTGTCATGATTCGCATTTATTATTATGTTTCGAAAATACCACAGTTTTCATGCGGGTCATATCGTATTATTTTGTTGTATTTATCCGTCGCACCTGAAAGTATTGTCTGACATTAAATCGGTTCGTGGGGCAAAAAAAGGTTTGGGACCGCCGGTATCAAGGATCCGTTGAAAATGTACACACATGCAGAGAGTTCTAGAAAGAAATTGTCGCAGGTTGACATTAATCTGTTTCCAACTTGGTTCACCCCCTAAGCGTTATCCTATTCTCTGTAAAGATTTCATTTTTGCTTGGAAAGACATTCAGAAGATGGGAGGAAAGCCCTCTTTCCCCATCTGCGCTTCCTTGTATATCCTCCGTGTTTGACGTGACAGTGAAATGACGTGACAGTGTACCCTGTGGAATTGAGGAAGCTGTCCCCGTTGATGCAATCTCTGGATGTGGCCGACGGAACAAACCAGAACGACGGCGTGCAGCTCCCATCGACCTGCCTCTCAAATCCATAGTCGCTGTTACATGTGGAGCACAAAAAACACGCCGGGTGTGAGCAAAGCTTCCATGCGCTGCATTCAAAAGTCGCTGGATAAGGAAGAGGAAACTGAATTTGTGGCCTCTGATTTTACTTTAGCTTTGACGCTTCAATGACAAAACAGTGCAGTTTTTTTTCCTCAAAAAAAAAAAAAAAAAAAAAAAAGCCACACAATTATGACTTTGCCGAGCCAGAGAAAAATTTCAGGCTCTTGTCATCGCAGAATTTGACAAAGTGTTATTAAGAATTCTTAAGCAAGCACGCCGGCGCCTTTCATTACGCTCTCGATCAAAGAGATAAAAGCAAGTACAAGACATTCTTGAAAGAGGGAAACACTTGACGCGCGACAACCTGTCATGTGAATTTGATTTAAAATGTTACAAGGAATAGGTCCTAATTAAGTCTTGTCCAGGAGCCAGTTCGAAACGACGCACAGGAGACACGACAATCTACTGCTGTCAAACGAGCTCCTTGTATCACTTAAAAATGATCTCTTTGAAATGTTCGGCGGTGATTCCTCTTCTTTTCCGAGGCTGATTACACGCTTCGTCGTCGCTGACTGCCACTCACCGCTATGCTCTTTTAAGCTGATTTTTGTTCTGTAGCTGAGCAAAAAAAAAAAAAAAACAAGAAGACCGAAAAACAAATTCGCTGGTTTTAACCAAATACTGTACTCAAAAAAGAAAGAAATAAATACATCTTTATTGGCAGCCATATTGCGGAAAGACATTTTTACATGCCTGTCCTGTACTCCATGTGGCCACTCAAACAAGGCGCGTGATTGGTTCCTGGCGCGACATCGACCAATGAGAAGCAGGAGTGGATTTATCCCGTAATCCTACCTCGCGCTTTTCACCGAAATCACTTGAAACTGGCAAAAGCAATGATAAATCAAATTCAAATCAGACATTCCTTTCGAACAGGGGTGTCAAACTCATTCTTGTAGTGGGCCACATTGTAGTTACGGTTTCCCCGAGCGGGGCCATTATGAATTTTGTGAAACCGTATAAATGTTTGACCACCTCCACGTATGACATATACAGTGCACAACAAATTGGTGGATACCTAGTTTTGATATCAGAAGTCAAGAATAATGGTTAGTTCAGCCATTGTTGACGTTAATTTAATAATTTCGTAAGGAGATAATGCTTGCAATATCTCTATGTAATGATGGATTAGATATGACAATTTGAAATTTTTGGTTCAGAGTTTAGCATGCATCGTGGTAAAGTTGACATGCTTGACTTGCTCTCACGGGCCACACAAAATGATATGGCGGGCCAAATCTGGCCCCCGGGCCTTGAGTTTGACACTAGTGCTTTGGAATTATTTCGACAGCAAATTTCGCGGCAGAATGCCTTACCTGGTTTCCTTCAAAGTGGAAACTGTATCAAGATTGAGCTTCAATGAGAAAGGGTGGGGAGGCCAAAGTCATATCAATGCATACCGAACAGATTTTTTTTTTCCCGAATTAGTAGCCCGTTCATAACCGCCCTTCAAAGTCTCCTTTTGTATTTGTCCCCAGACCGCTGCCCGTTGTGCAAAAGCCGACCGTGAGTTTTCCGACTTCTGACTCGTATCGTGAATCGTGTTCTGATGGGGTCTGTCGAAGCTTTGAAACGAGAGGCTCGACTACCACGTGAAAAGTTTTCAAAGGCTTTTTTTTTTCATGTTATTACGTGTTGCAGTGAAGTGAAAGTGTGTTTTCTATTGAAACGATGCTGCAAAGGAGAAAGAGGAGGAGGAGGAGGAGGGGGAGACTCACCACTCAAAATCGGCCTCTGTGCACGGACAGGATTCTGACATCTGAGAGATGTACTGTTCTCTGGCCTTGACACATCGAGCGTTTACTCGCAGTTTCTGGAAGATTCTCTTCATTCCCATGATGCACACTTCTCCCTGCAATGAATAATGGATCATAACCATCTCACAGGCTTCTTCTTCTTCTTCTCCTCGTGTCTTTGTCTTCTTCCCCCAGCTCGCTTTTCATGGCGAGACCGAATCAAAAGGAAGCACGTCGCCTTGCGACGGCTCACAAGCCCGAAGATGGACTCACCTCATTGTCCAACTGCCACGTCACGTAATCTTGCGAAGTGCAGCGGTGTTGAAAAATGGAGCGGAAGTCAATTTTGACGAGTTGCCACTCGGATCGGTGACTGAAGTGACCGAAGATTCTGCTCATGACAAGTCAAAAGGGGAGGGCGGGAAATTAGGTCAGAACTTTTGGTGCAATAAAGATAAAAAATATATATATATATAAATTATTTGCTCCAACAGACTGGCTTTAATCAATTGCAGGCAGCTGGGGGGGGGAAAAAAAAGACATATCTAGGGCAAAATTAAACACGTTCAAAGCCGCTTGGAATGGAAAAGTCTTCAAAGGCTGATATGTCATTGTGACTCAATTAACCTTGCGGCAACACGCCAATTAGTTTCTTTTCTACATCTCTTACGTCATGATGAGGGTGTCCTCTCCGGGCTCCCCCAGCACCCCGTCGACATAGAGCGGCGAGGAGGTGAAGCTAAATTTGTCCCAGTTTCTGCCCTCATCAAAACTCAGCCTACGGGGAGAGGGTGGGGGGGTTGAAGAGAGAGCCAAAGATGGATCACAAACAGCCCGGCCACAAAGACACGAGCGTCTCTCGCGCGAAGATTGATGGCTGGAGCGGTAAGCAGCGTGGGACGCCTACCAGATATGTCTAATAGGCAGAGGTGTGTGTCGGATAGCCACCAGAGATCCTCCTTGATTCAGGAAAAACACGCTGTACTCTTCCTGAAAAACCTACACACACACATACATGGCAGGCGGCTTTATTTTAGATGATTGTTTTTGACTTCTGAATTCGTGCAGCAGCTGGCGAAGGCGTAACAAACACGCGTACATGAAACAAACGAAACAAACAAGACGCAGACTCGTCCTCGGTTGTTTGAACTAACGAGAGCATCAAGATGGGTTGACTTAACAGAGACTCTGGCCCGTGGCAAAAAAAAAACACAAAAAAAATGTGCGTTTTATTTGCTGGCTTTGGAAAACTCTGTATTCTTTTTTTAGGGAAATGAGAACAGAACTACTGAGGGCTTGCATTCGACTTGACTTTTAATACTGTCAGTTTGTTTGGGGATCAGCCATCTTTTATTCGCACACCCACAACATGAGTCATTCTTGGTGATGGAACGCATTTTGTATACACTCGCGGCCGCATTATCATGGCAGTTAATACAAAAGGAAAGATAATTAAAGCTGCATTCATGGATGAGGCCTGACACCAACCCGCTCCATTGATGAGTAGACTTTGTCGCAGGGCAAAAAAAAAAAAAAAAAGCTTCAGAATTTAGCACTGCCCATTTTACTCATGTAAACCGAATTCCAAATGGGGCTCATTATGTTGAATTCTTCAGTAGGCGTTTCCAAAATAAGAGGACCATCATTTTCCCAAAATGGCCGACGTCCTGCTCAATTTTGGCGATCGGTCCATGAGACATTTTTTTGTGCGTCCTCCAAATTTCATGTTGAATGGTAAAACTGGTGTTGAGGGCAAATTTTTTTTTCGAACTTTCCCCACGGCGCTACTGAATGAATTTTGGATGGTTTTATAACACATTTCCCCCAACGTCGAGGGCGTGCCGCACTCGTGAAATAAAAAGGGGAAAAAAAAAAACATCTTTAAAATCTATATGCACATTGATTATTTTACATCATGGTTCTGTGATGAGTTCATGTTTGTGATGACCAGATACGCGCATGTACGTGTCAGCATAAGTCACACACGGCCCACGTTCTTTTCCTTCCGTCATAATTAAAGTGAAAGGAAATTTCAAATCGACGTCTGTGTTTGCAACTACTAAAACCCGAATGTATTTAATAAAACATTATTCCAAAATCAAACTTTGTGCTGCCCCATGCTATAAGCCCTCATGAAATATTTAGTTTGTATATTTATTATTTATCTTGTAGTGGTGTAATAAACTGCACTGCATCGTACTTTGTTTTCGAAACATTTGGTTACCAAGTTAAGCTACTCGATAGGGTCAAAATAGTAGAAACAGCTCGGAGTAGGATGCTCACAAATACCTCGATGACTACCAGATAGTATTTGTCCTTGAAGAAGGTGTCAAGATGACTTTTTCAATAATACTTACGAGGGAATACTCATCATAATGTACCTCTCTCCACGTGTTGCCAGCGTCGGATGTGATGAAAATGCTGACATTAGTGGTGGTAAGCTCTGGTCCGACTACTCCTGCAAACCGAAAACATAAGAAGGAATAAATGGCACAGAAGACATCAGTTCTATTTTCACCCAAAGAAAAACAGCGGCTCACAGAGGGTTATCGGAATTCTGCTCTGTTGGCCATACTTTCCCCCTTAAATGTCTCCATGTTCATTTTTTTTAGCAGTAATGTACAATGCAACGCCATGAAAGTGGAGGAACTGACACGGCTGTCACAATTTCACTCATTTAAAGTTACGCTTTGTCACAAAAACAAAATAAAAAAGTCATCGATATATGCTCTGTATTGTTTGCACAAATTTGATTGTTGACATCGTTGCCGGCAGAGGGCTAACATCAGCATTAGCATTAGCATCTTGCGTCTTTGGGCTAATCTCAAACCTTCAATGGCCGCAGAGAGATTGAGAATGGGCGGCGGTTGCTGTCTGAACTTGTTGACGCCCAAATTTTATTGCTGCAATAATTCTCAATAGCCAAGGTGCAGTGCCTAAACAGATCCAGTAGATGGAGCTACATTGAAAAAAAGATTACACAGCATTCATTCTACGGAAAACATTAAAACTCATCAAAATGAAGAAACGCCCTCTCACAACTAATCAAAACAAACTGAATGTGAGTAACAAAAATCCAGACGAAATCAAAACAAACTTCAGCAAATAATAGCCTCACCCGATGCGATGATCACTCCAGGCGCTGTATCTTTGCTGACGATGTTTCCAGAGGTGTAAGGGTTCTCCGAAACGTGAAGATGCAGATGTAACGAGCAGTACGGCTACAGGAAAAAACGTACACATGAACACGCCAACACCAAATCACGCTCTTAAGTTTGTCCGTTGTTTTGTTTCGCGGATTTACAAGAAGCAGAATTCTGCTGGCAGCCAACGACAGCATCCCACACTTACTTGCTCACAGTCGACCCGTTTGCCTTGGAGATCCGTCGCCGGGGCCTGCAGAAGCCGCCAGTCTAT